ATGAGCATCTTTTCATGTGCCTGTTGGCCATCTGGATGTCTTCTTTAGAGAAGTGTCTATTCATGTTTTCTGCCTATTTCTTCACTGGATTATTTGTTTTTCAGGTGTGGAGTTTGGTGAGTTCTTTATAGATTTTGGATACTAGCCCTTTGTCCGATATGTCATTTGCAAATATCTTTTGCCATTCTGTCGGTTGCCTTTTAGTTTTGTTGATTGTTTCCTTTGCAGTGCAGAAGCTTTTTATCTTCATGAGGTCCCAACAGTTCATTTTTGCTTTTAATTCCTTTGCCTTTGGGGATGTGACTTGACTCCTCTTTGGAATAGCTCAAATGCTATTCCAAACAGTATAGTTATAAAAGTGCATAAATTTAAAGTCTTAAAATCAATTGTAAATCATTTTATCCAAGTAACTGTGTTCTGTGATTTAAAAGGCAGAACTCTTTATAATAACAAGTATTTTTTGTAGTGACTCTAGTAATTATAATTTTGAGAAAGTTTAAAAATTTGACCCAAACAAAGAATACTTAAAATTGGTATACATACTTGTATCTAGGTTGGATTCTAAAGTGAGAATGCGCTGTTGCGTTTCCATGTTAAAGATGCTTGTATATCCTTTGCTGAACGATGCTACCATATGGCTCGGGTCACTGCTCACTAGATCCACAGACGCAGGGATTCCCAATTCTAAGAGAGTCAGAACATATTCAGAGAATGGCGATCAGAGGGTCTAGTTGAAAATGTCCTTATAATATAGCAAAACAAATAGTCACAAGATTTCCTTAAGAAGTAAAGAAGGCTCAACATTAGAATAAAAATTAGCTCATTAGCCATTCAGTAGAGATTTCTTTTTTACTGTTAGCCCTAGCCTATTTTATTATCTTTACCTGTTCAGCAAGTCTTCTACCTGTTACCCAGCTAATATATTCACAGAATGCAGGCCTTTACTCAGAAAATAAATGGAAAACATTTCTGGACTACAAGTTTTGTTGCTTCCACTTTTACCTGAGGCTTAGAGTGGCATTGTGGGAATTCTTTAAGAGACCATCTCTTATGAGGAATTCTAACTCATCAAAAATACGGAATTAAAAAAATAAAATTTCAAATTATTATTTACTGGTAGAGTCATGCAAATATCAAATGCAGGCAACTCATCAAAACCCAGACACAAGTTAAAACAGCTCAAGAATAAAGAAGGTACTTTATTTATCATCTAGAATAGGATAAAACTTGGTTAAACTTACAGTGTACTTACAAACATAAAAGAATAGAATGATATGTATACATATAATGTATACATATACATGAATATAATCTGATTTTTTTATATGGTTGAAAATCTAAAGCAAGCAAGCAGTTAAAAAATCTGTATATTATAGAAGAAGATACATTAATAGCTAATAAGCACACACACACAAAAGTGCTCACAATAATTAGCCACCAAAGCGATGCAAATTAAAACCACAATGAAACACTGCTACACACCCGCCAGAGTGGCTAAAACTAAATGAACTGATAACACCAAATGCTAATTAATTAAGAATGAAGCGCGGCTGGAATTCTCATACATGCTGTCAGTGGTATAACATGGCACAACCACTCTGGATAAGTTTGGCAATTTCACATAAAGTTGAACACACAAAACCACTTCTAACTCCCAGCAATTCTACTTCTAGGTCTTTACTAGCTCAATAAATAAATAAATAAATAAAAAATGAATGTTCATAGTAGTTTTGTTCATAATACTCAAAAACTGGAAACAACCCACATGTCCATCAAAAGGTAAATAAATAAACACACTGGTTTAATGAAATACTATTAAACATAAAAATAAAGAAGTTGATATGTAGAACACGGATGAATCACAAAAACATTAGAGAGTAAAAAGCCAGATACAAAAAGAGTATATATTATATGATTTCACTTCTATGAAATTTTAGAACAGATAAAACTTATTTGTAATGAAAGAAATCATACCGCTGGTTGGAAATGGGAAGAGGGGCTGGGAAGGACCCAAAGACACTTTGAAGAGGTGAAGGAAAGGTTCTAGATCTTGAGAGGTATAAGAGTTATATATTTGTCAAACCCAGTAAGACATGTCTTCAATATCCATTTTTACTGTAGATGTTATATTTTGATTTAAAAAACATTTTTTAATGTGTGTTCTTTCACTGAACACTATGCTTTTAAAAATCATAAGTTGGAAATTCAAACAAATATGCTTTCATTACTTAAAAAAAAACCCTTCAAATTAAATTTAAACTCTAAGAGTTTATAGAATCCTTTACTTATTTGCTTGTTGTTAGAATTAGACACTTTATAAAAGATTCAGTTGAATGATAAAAAAAAAAAAAAAGCATATACCTTGATTATCATTAAATACACTTAGGGCTGGAGCAGCCTCGGCTGTATTCCATAATCGGAGAGTGCCATCTGCTGAACAGGACAACAGGCGCTGATGGGCAGCACTGTAAGCCAAGCCCCAGACAGCATCGGTGTGGCCCAGCAGAGGGCCCCTTAAAACAGAAGGATCTACACAAAATAGCAAGAATGCAAAATCAGGAGAAAAAAACAAATCATAAAGGTAACTCAGATTCCAGAGAAAGGAAATACAAACAAAAGCGTCTAATAACAGCACAAAATATGCTTCCTAGTTTCTATTACTCTTCTGAAATGTTGCAGTAACTAAAAACAGGCTTGGAAATACGCACATGCAGAGTCTAGGACTTATAAATTAAAATTTTAAAGTACATATTTCTCTCCTTAAAAAAATCAGGTATTTCCTTCTCCTTCCCTTCTTTCCATTTGTCTAGATTTTTTAAAAAGCACGTTAACACACATCATTTGAATTTAATCTGCGTTCAGAGAAGTCACAACTATTCCTCGAGGAAATGAACAGAGATCCTTTCCTCGTTGAGCTGTCAGCACTTTGGACACGCTTCTTCAGACCAGCCTCCTGTATCTCCGCACTACGAATGGCAGTTATTTCTGGGAGCAACAGGTCCCTGGAATTCACGGTGGACACGAACTGAGACATACAGGTATTCTCCTCTAACAGCACTAACCGACATGTGAATGATGTGCATGAAGGGAAGGAGGCTCACTTAGCACGGTTTCGTGACAAAAGTCAAACTGGAAACTGTAATTATCAATCCTCACAGTGACTCTATGAAGCAGTACTTTCAAGATGGCTCACACATGTTAAGTTTAAAATGTCAATGTTATCTGTCCTCTACTCTCTGTCATATCATAAAGTATTTATTGAAGACACGGTGTGTTAGGCACTATGCTAGATGCTGGGGCCACACAGATAATTAAGACACAGTGCTATCCTGGTCTCAAAAGATGTTGTGATAAGTACAATAACAGTGACTGACATTGTATCCATGGAGAGTAACAGGGTTGAGTGAAAGCTTCCTGGAGAGAATGACACCTAGAGTCTATGGGGGCTGGCCAGTCAAAACTAGAGGGAAGCCACTGCTGGCAAAGGAGGCGGCACCTGCAAAATCACAAAGGAAGGAAAGCACGACATGTGAGGAAATTTACAAGCAATTCAGCACCACTGAAGTGTGAAGTTGGAGACAGAAAGATGAGAGGAGAGCGGCTACTTTAAGGTGGGATTTCTACAGCATATCAAGGTAGTTGGGAGTTATTCTGAAAGCAAAATGAACCACTACGGGGTTTTCCAGGAGCAGTAGGATGAAGTAGGTATTGAATAAGGTAGCCTTCACTGTAGTGCAGAAGACAGACTGGACAGAATCCAGATGATGGCAAGGGAACAGTTCCAGCAGTCTGGGGGAGTGATGATGAACACCTAGGGGAGGGCATTGGGAAAGGGGGCAAAGCAGAAGGGCTATATTCAAGGAATATTTAGGTAATTAATATTAGGTAAATATTAATTACTAGGAAATTAATAAGGTGCAGATAGCAAACAGAACAAGGCAACAAGGATAACTGTTAGGTTTCTAGCTTGGGTAACTGTGGTGGTGCCACCATCTCATAAAGAATATATGGGAGAAGAAACACAGCACTTGCGGGGATTTATGGACAATGAGATGGTGACTTTGAAATGTTCTGTAGGCAGTCTGAGGCTTACAGAAGATATTTATGAGTCAACAGCATATAAAACCATAGAGGTGGATTCAGTCTACCAAAGAATATGCATACAAAAGAAAGAATGAATAGGGTGTGGGCCTTGATAAATGCCAGTATCTAAGGTGAGAAAAATAAAAGTTTATGAAGGATAGGAAACAAATGGTCACAGAAGCCAATAGTGGACAAATTTCAACAAGGATGGAATGTTCTACAGTTTCAGATAGCCAATATGTCTAGAAAAACAAGGACTGGAAAATACCCCTTGGATCAGCCAATCAGGTAGTCACTGATAATCTTGGTATATTTAAGGGGAATGACCAGAAGACAGACTGCAGAGGGATGATGCCCGGGGAAAGGACATGGAATTAGTAACTCCAAATTGTGTATTCTAGTCACAACCACCAAAGAGACACACACACAGATGATGAGGGAAACAAAGACTAAACAGAAGCCAGGGAGGGAAATGAAGTCAAGAAAAGGCTTCCCCTTGCCCAGGAGAGGAGCTAGCTGGATTTACTTATATGTGGAGGGGGTGGAAAGAGAGAAAAGAGGGCAAGGCTTAAGATGAGAGCAAGAGAGACAGCAAGAACGAATCAAGTGCAGTCTCAAAAGAAATAAGAGAGAATGAGGTCAAGAGCCAAAGGAGAAGGGCTGGTTGCCTTGGGACAGAACAATTGATCCTCTCATAGAGAGATAAAGGAAGTAAGGAAAAATATGGAACAGATCAATTTTTAAGAGACCCGGGGAGAGAGAGGGGCTTTACCTTTCACAAAATACATGTTAAATGTTTATTAAATATATGTTGGGAAAATTTTTTGTTTATCGAATTTATCTTTACTTAGGTTTGGTGGCAAAATTAATCTAAAGTGAAGAGGAAAATATGGTTTTAGGACAAATACAACACTTCATACCATTCTAAAATCTGAGAATATAAGAGGAAACCAAGAGTCAATTCCTAAACAGTTTTTGCAAAAGAATTTATGGTAAAATCTAGAGATAGATTATCATGTGGATTTATGTTTCACAGTACTGTTCCCAAGACTAAAGGCCCTTCTTAATTTTTAAGGCCTTTCAAGTATTTTGGTGTCATGGAGCTTAAAAATCATTACCCTCTACACACTCCAGTAACTGATCAAGAAGATGATGCCAACATTAATTTTCCTTAGGCTGTTTGTCAAGAACAGTAATGAAATGTGTAATAATGTCTCAAGTAATGTACAGATGCCCAAAATGAAGAAAACGATGGTCATAGCCACCATTTCCAATCAACAAAACTCTGGGAGGGTGGGAACTGTTTTTTGCAGGAATAACCCATTTTGTTTCTTTTTTCTTTTAACATCATATATCAAATTGATTCCTAAATACAAGAGTCCTTTTCAACCATATAAAGACCTTGTTGTCTTTTACCAATTTATTAACATATCTCATTTTATCCTTATATATGCTATGTAAAATGTGTAAAAGGAAGACAAGTTATTCTTGCATATCCTGGGGGAAACACCTACCGTAGGAGTCATAGGGATCGACGTTGGGGTTGGTGGTATTCCAGCCTTGGATCAGTCCGTCGGCACCCCCACTGTAGCACTGCTCGCCGCTGCTGCTCAGCACCACACAGAGCACTGGTCCTCTGGGAGATAAAAAGCAATTTCTATTCCCCCAAATCAATCTGATAATAGGACTTGTTAGAAATAAGAGTGCTTAATTAATATGCACTTTCTATGTTTCAGCTTTTTACGATGAATAAAAATACTATGGAAGCATCGCACATCTCTCTTCTGCTGCTAAACCAGAGGTTGGCAAACTATGGCCTGTGGGCCAAATCCAGCCAGTGGTCTGTTTTTGTACAGTCCTCAAGCTAAAAATGGTTTTTACATTTTTTTTAAAGGGTTGTAAAAAAAACTGAACTAAAAACAAAAATATACAACAGAAAATATATGGCCTACAAAGCTGAAAAAGTATTTACTATCCGACCCTTTCTATAAAAAATGCCAATCTCTGTGTTAAATCAAGTGAATAAGTATAACCCTTAAGCTTATGTGGAAATATGAGCAGCATGCAATATGTGTTCATAATTTTAAAATTCTTGGGTTTTTTTTAATCTATATTATCTTTAAGGAAAACAAAGGTCAGGATTTATAATATTCAACCCTTACTGCATCAACTTATTTTAAGCAAGAGAGATATCATATTTAAACATTATCCAAATAAAACCTAATTTTAGCAAGGATCTCTGGTAGTGATAAACTTGTTTTTAACACTGTATTATCTGCCAGTTTCTTTTACATTTACAAAAGAAAAAAGCTACTAAATACAAAAAATATATAACACAAATATTTAAGGGAAAGAAAATAAAATACTCTAATCAGGCTGATGTACAGTGACGCTGACTTAAAACAAAGAAAAAGCACATACTTACTTATGAGCCCTGAATGTATAGATAGGCTCCACATCAAGAGATGTACTCCTAAATCCAAGAGAGAGAGGACTTTTACCACTCCAAGTTTCAGTAGTAAACAGTAGCCCTGAATATATGCCACAAAATTGCCTTTAGAAATACCAACACTGTGGTAATATACCATTCTCAACCTAGGACACCTAAGACAGCTTATCTGATATCAATCACATATTTTTGTGGCCTCAAGAAACACTTGTTTAGTAGTAGTTTAGTAATAATACCTGATTGTAGTGTTCTCAGCATTATCATAGTCTATTTGACTAAAGGAAGAGAGAGTCACACTCAAAGAGCATCATAGGCTTTGAGGAGATAAATTTCTGGATTCAATTAGCTGGCTAACTTCAGGCAAATTATTTATTCTTTTGGAACTTCAGATTCCTCTACGTATTTAAAACAAAACTGAAAAATCAGGATAATACCAAATACTCACAGGATTAAGTAAAAGTCTACATGTAAAACAGACTAGGCTAGAAACAGGCATTAGCAGGATTTCAGCACATGGCACTTTAATTTCTTTGCATTTCCATAAAGGTTAAGATATCTGTCCTCGATACTTGTAAAAGTTGTCCAAGTCATCAGTTTATTCATTAATCAGAACACTGAACGTATAGATACTCTACACTAATACTGGCCATGACTGTTAATGGAAACTGGATGTAAAGTCAATTACTTACCATTTCTGATATTGTATTACAGTTTTTTATATGATTTTCTCCTCAAGCATTTCCAAAATTTTATGCTCAAAGGTAAACAGGTCACTGTTATTTACATGTGGAGATACTGTTCCTAAGCTATCACCAGCTAAGAAACTTGTTTCAATATTTTTCTAGGTTTTAGTCAAGAATATATGAGACATTGACATTCTTTGGTCGAATGAGATGCCCATTGTGGCCAGAGAACTAAAAAGACAAAAGGCACGATTTATAACAAAGAAATAATTACTCTCTGCTGAAGATACCTGATCCTTATGAGAAGTCACTTGGTTTTAGCAAGATCTGGTTGAACTGGTTGATGAAGACTGATAAATCAAGTATTTTATCAAGTTTATGTAGGACTCACAGCAGGAATGTTCACTGATCTCGTTTAAACTTGGCAATAGATATCCTCTATCAGTAGTAAAACTTCTATAATCTTTGCCAGTTCATGTTTATTTCTCCTTCCAATAACAGAAGTGCCTGACACCAGAGAAGGGCCATTACTGGCACATGCTAGGTTTGGACCATCTGATTCAAGGACACAGGAGAGCGACCTCCAGTAAGTACCCTACCAAGTGGGACCTGGACTAGCTTGGTCACTGATAAAAGAGATTATAACAACTCATGTCTGTTCATGCTTAAGAGAGGAACCGAGGGGCTGAGGGAAGAAATAGCAGTTAAGTGACAGGAATAACAGTGCCTTTCAGTCTATACATGTTGGTAGGTATAGAAAGTACCTAAAAGGTCAAGGCCAAAAAACAATACCAAAGAACAGTCCTTCACCCCTCAATCAGCCTCCCTTCCACATCATTAAGTCCAAACCTAATAAATAATATGGCAAGGTTGTGCTGGGGAATGATGACACGCCTACACCTCTTTACAACAACAGTAGAAACCTTCAATATAGGCAAGGGAATCCACAAATATGACAACCATTTAAAATACTGTGTAAGGATTGTAAACAGCATTCACAAGCTCTGGGAAACTATCAGATAATACTATTTCTCCCTCAGTGTCAGTTTTCCAACCTGATATCAGATTGTGAGTAAGAAGGGAAAAATTCTAATTATGTGACATGGTAAAGAAGAAAAAGCTGGAAGGTATACTTGAGAAATTTAATAGCAAATAATTAAGTACTTTTCTGCTGAAAACTGATAATTAAAATACTCAAATACAGGGCGTCTGGGTGGCTCAGCTGGTTGAGCATCTGACTCTTGATTTCGGCTCAGATCATGATCTCACCTTTTGTGGGTTCGAGCCCTGTGTTGGGCTCTGTGCTGACAGTGTGGAGCCTACTAGGGATTCTCTCTCTCCCTCTCTCTCTGCCCCTCCCATGAACGCTCTCTCTCTCTCTCAAAATAAATAAATAAACTGAATAAAAAAAAAAAAAACCTCAAATACAGTTAAAGTAGAATATTCTCACTTTTTGGCTGGGGCTGTTTTCTGCAAATTCCACATTTTTAATGTGTGATCCTCTGATGCTGTTATCAAAACGGGCTCAGTGGGGTGGAAAGCAAGGGCTCGAATGCCATCGAAGTGACTTCGTAATGTAAACTTAGGGTTCCATGTCTTCCTCAATGCATCTTTATTGTTTGCTATCTATTAAGGAAACAAAAGAAAGATACCCGGACATCTGGTTCAGGACATGAAAAAAATTATATTTCAACATTAATTCCTGCTGATTTGTCATTAAATCATCACATTGTGCAATTGTCAAAACAATATAATTTCTAAATGCAAATAATCAAATCAAAAGGCAAAATTAACAGTACGTCAACAGTGGTTTTCTTTGAAGAAATATAAATGAATACACAACATAAAAACAAGTAACATAATTCAAAATTGAAAGAAGACTAAATAACAAGAATGGGTCTTTACTAGGATGACTTAAAAAAACAACAGACAAGTAATTTCAACCTAAATTATAATATAGAAACTAATTTGGGATAAAACCTGAAAACTAAGTTACCTTTAATAACCTATTAACATTATAGAATATGATCCTACTTCTAGATTTTCAGTACTTTCTATGAAAAGTTAAATTTTCTTTGTCAAATTGGTAACAACGTTTATAAACTGGAAACATAAAATGTTAACCCTGGAAGAGACAATCAGATGTTACAAAACAATAAATTCCATTTGCAAAACACAACATTATCTTGCTTTTCTCCACACAGACTCCATCTCAACAACTTAAAAAATGCAGTTTTTCATTCCAAGAATATTCCAACTTTTTTTTTCATTTCCAACTAACAGCAAAGCCAAAGAGGTTCATGTTTAACTTTACACTAGCACCACATATCCTATCACATATTACTTTACACTCCATGACTAACAAGCATTCTAGATTTAAGCACGAGTAGGGCACATATTGGTTAACACACTGAAGAAATATTGCCATACTTACAATGACAAAAAAACCCAATACTAATAACTGCTATTTTGAGCATTATTCGTTACTTTATACATTTTTCAAAAACTTAACACGCATTAACTCACTTAAGTGTCACAACAGCTCTATGAAGGAATCAACATTATTCCCACTTTAAGGACCAGACATGTAAAGAAAAGAGAAGCTGAATGAGTTCCCTCTAGTAAGTGGAAGACTCAGGATTCAAAACCAAATAGCCTGACTTAAGAGGCTACACTCGTAATACAAACTATAACTTAGGACCCAGAAGTTTAAAAGTCTGCAGAAAAATTTGGATAGAGCAGGTCACAACTGGAGCAGTAAGAAGACAGAACACATGATACAAGGAACTACTATAAGATCTGGGGCTGGTTATCTTTGCATGGGGGTTGGGGGTGCGTGGAGCAGGGGGAGAGGCAGAACAACTAAGTTGACTCTTGTCTGCTCTTATTGAAGAGCTGAAAGATTTTCATATACAAAAACAATTAGATTCCTTCTGAATGTCTTAATGTGGTAGACAGCCACTAAGATGGTTCCTGATCAGCCCTACGTCCTCATATTTACACCTTGTGAAGTCCCCTGCCACAATACAGGGTTGCTCTGTGTGACCAATAACATATAGCAAAAGTGGTGGCAAATTACTTCCAAAATCAGGTCATAAAACCTCGCATCTTGGGTGTTCTTGCTCACTCTCTTTTCAAGTACACCCACACTGGGAGAAGCCAGCTGCTCCACCGAGAACGCCACACAGAGGCTCCTGGGTGAGAAACTAGTCCCCAGCCAATAGCCAGCAAGGAACCAAGGCTTTTGAACAACTGCATGAGAGAGCCTGGAAGGAGATCTTCCCAAGTCTTCATTTAAGACTGCAACCCCTGCTACATGCTTACTATAACCACATGACAGACCAGAACCACACAGCTATGCTGCCCCAGATTGCTGGCCTCCAGAAACTGTAACAAATGTTGTTTTAAGCTGTGTCGTGTGCAATTTGTTACACAGCGGTAGGTTACTAATATATTTATTAGAACTAGAGACTTCTTTTAGAAACACAGACATAACACTAAGTTTTTAACAACAGCTAAAAAAAAAAAAAAAAAAAAAAAAAAAGAATGACATTTGTCTACAGACATGACTGAATTCTGTAACATATGGGACAAAATCTTTGTGAGGTACGTATAGAGAGGACAAAAGTATCTCATGGGAACTTCTGCTTTCAGCCATGATGTAGACTAGACCATTAGGATCAAGTCTGTACTGAGGACAAGTAGAAAAGCAGAGCTAATAATTTTTAAATGGAGAACCAGAAAAATAGTGAAGAAAAAGGAGGCCAGGATTTAGGGGAAGACAGAAATCTAAAAAGGTGAGCCTGATATTTGGAGTTGTTTCTCCCCAGAGGGTATTTACTGATTCCAGAGGGGATGGTTGAGAGGTCAGGCTGTGCTTTTGACGCTTGGGCAGTGCAAGGAGATACAGACTGGTGTCCAGGGCCTGCCAAGAAGGTGGGGCTTGGTGAACCACTGTGCTTTGGGTTTTGAGTCCAAAGGGTTGCATCCTAGACAGAAGCGTGAACTAGAACAAAAGCCCTTGCAGAGACTGCAGATCAGCTTTAAATCATCTGAAAAACTGAAACTGAAATGAGGTGATCCAGATTTCTACTGGCTACAGACATTTGAGAGAAGCAAATTAAAATATACTCCCTGGGGGAAGGTATCATCCTAGGCCTAAAGTTATTTCTATAGACATTTTTTCAAGTATGGTTATTTGGACACAATAAAAAATAACCATGCCCACACAAGATTATACAGCTTAATGAAAACAACTGGGAACATAATCATGCTTACTGTGTTCAAGAAGATAAAAGACAACATTGTAAATTTTGGAATAAATCTATAGAAAAAGAATTCTAGAAGCAAACAATGTAAGACCTAAGTAGATAGGTTTAATTACACATTACACATAACTGAAGAAAGAATTAGTTAACCAGAAGATGGGTCATAAAAACATCTAGAGTGAAGTATAGAGACAAAAGATGGAAAATACATAACAAAGGGAGCAGGAGACAGAGGATGTAGAGAGTTCTAACAATATAACTAGAGTTCCAGAAGGAGAAGAAAGAGAGATGTGTAAAAGCAGTATTTGAAGATAAATAGCTGAGAACTTTATATAAAACTGAGAAAAACATACTAAGCCAAGAAGGTCTAAGAACTTCATGAAGGTTAAATAAAAAGAAAACTAAACCTTGGCTAACAGTCAAGACATAGGAAGATTATGAGTCATAGAAGAAAAAAAAAATCAGACTAACATTGAACGACCAATAAAAGAAATGACAGCTGACTTTAGCAGAAAACGAAGGAAGAAAATGAAGTAATATATTTAGAATGTTTAAAGTGAAACTAAATGCAAAACAAAACAAAACAAAACAAAAACCTTGCCAACTGGAACTCAATACCAGAGATAAAAGTTAACCCACTCAGGTGAAATAAAGAATAAAACCAGAAACTGAGGGAATTGGATACCAGTAGACCTTCACCAAAGAGAAATATTAACTGTTCTTAGAGTAAAAGAAAAGTGTTCCAGATGGACAGTCAGATGCGCAGGGGAGAACAGAATAAAGCAAAATGAATCATGTAAAATGGATAACCTAACTGAATGTTGAGTGTATAAAACATTATCTTGTAGGAGATAAATGTCGACACAAAATATATAGTAATAGTAACATATATGTACAGTAGGAATTTTTTAAGTATAGTTAAAAGTGTTCTAAAGGTCTGTGCATTAAAATTTTGATAAGGATATGTGTGGTAATCTGTAGGGTAACAATAGAAAGAGTAATGAAAGACTGCATAATCTCCAAATAATGGAGTGGGGGTGACTTATAAAAAAGAATCCCAATATAGCTAAAAATAGGAGAAAAAAGAACACAGAACAGGTAGCACAAATAAACAGTGGGCTTAAATCCAAATATATCAGTAATTACTTTAAAAAGAAATGGACTCAGTGGTCCAATTAAAAACGTTGTCAGGGGCACCTGGGTGGCTCAGCTGGTTAAGCATCCGACGTCTGCTCAGATCATGATCTTGTGACTCAGGAGTTCCAGCCCCTTATGGGGCGAGCGTGAGCCCCGCTTCTCTCTCTCTCTCTCTCCCTCTCTCCCTCTCCCTCTCTCTCTCTCTCTCTCTCCCCCTCGCTCTCTGCCCCTCGCTCTCTGCCCCTCATGGGATTCTGTCTCTCTCTCTCTCTGCCCCTCGCTCATTTGCGCCCTCTCAAAAATAAGTACATACATACATAAAAATTAAATAAAATTAAAAAAATAAAAAGGTTGTCAAATATTAGATGAAAAAACAAAAGTCAACTAAATTGTGTTTTTATACACAACAGATGTAGAATATAAGAATACAAAGCTACTGGAAACAAATATTTTTTAAAAACCTGTATCATATATGCAGAGAATGGGGAACCAAGAGCCCATTTAGATGAGGTTATTGTAGTAGTTCCAGGTGAAGAAAACAATGGAGTAGGATGAAAAGTAAAAAACAGCTAACGATTTTAGGTATTTTTGGAGGAAGAACCCAAAAGACTTACTAATGGACTTAGCAAAGAGTGAGAATTTTGATTTGTAGGAAGAGGAGTGAGTGGTGAGGTTCCTCTTTGGAGCACATCCTTCTCACATCCATGGTTTGCTTAAGCATCCATCTTTACAGCCCCCATGTGGTAGGAGCTATACTGTGTTCTCCAACAAAGATAATGAGGTATCAAAGTGAGACCATTTTCATCAAGACAAGACAGGTTGTAAATACTTTATAAAACAAGCAACTGTTTTTCTGACAATTTAAATGTAGTTATAAAACAACTGTGTTTGGGATTAAGTAAACGCATGCATGTGTAAAGGTATGACGATTTCAGTTTTGGTCTAAATCACTGATGGGTCGGCCTTAACATCTTCAAGACACCCTGTAGACATCCCTGCCTAACAATAACTAAAATCTCCTGTAGACCAAGTATTCACTGATAATGTACTGGAGAAGAAACTCAAATGTTGCCATTAGGGAGGCATGAATTTCAAGTGATCTCTGGTGCCTTAAAACATAAAACCCAAACTTGGTAACAGAAAGGGAATTCTTTCCCTTAATCTAAAACCAATAAACAAGATATAAAAACTTACGGATTTAGGCAAAGACCATAATTTTAATCTCTACACAATGTGAAAAATACTGTATTTTCAAAGTTTGCAATTAAAACAGAACCAAATTCTATACCTGTAAAGAAATTTTACCACTGTTATCTTTTTCTATTAGGTTAACTTTTTATTTTTAAGAAATGAAAAAACAACAAAAATAAAACCATGACTCACATCATAAGTTAGTGAATCTGCTTCATTGGCCACTGTAAGTCCAGCCAATTCTCCAAGTCCCAGTTCACTTTCAAGGGCTTCATCTGCTCCCATGATGAAGGACTTCCCAGAAGAAGGAGGAAAGGTCAATGCTTCCACTGAAGGGGGAAGACAGAAGACACATAAAAAAACTTCTAAAGTGTAAACAGTCTCTTAAGGGCATGTCTATATTTGATTATTTTTAAATGCATTCAAACACAGTAAAATTCAGTGAGCAGAAAATCCTCAAGAACTGGTTGCTTTTTCCGTATCTTAACCATAGGCAAAGGTATCTCATTTGAAAAGTACAACACGAGGGGCCTGTGGGTGGCTTAGTCGGTTAAGCATCTGACTTTGGTTCAGATCATGATCTTGCTGTTTGTGGGTTCGGGCCCCGCATTGGGCTCTCTGCAGCCCCTGTAGATCCCACATTGGATCCTCTGGCTCCCTCTCTCCTCTCTCTCAAAAATAAATAAACATTAAAAAAAAGAAAGAGAAAAAAGAAAAGTACAACAGGAAACAAATCCAATAGACCATTGTCCCTTCTTTTTCACTATACAAAAAAATAATACGACTAAAGCAAAGTAGGCTTTCCTCGTTTGCTATTTCATGTTAATTACTCAAATTACTTCTATCAAATATTAAACATAAGTAACAAGTGATCTGAACACTCCTGGTCTCATTCAAAATAAAATTGCTTAATTCTATAACTCGGAAGAATACAGAAAATTTCAAACGAAAATGGTTATTACAACTGGGTGGGTGGCTCAGTTAAGCGTCTGACTCTTGATTTCAGCTCAGGTCATGATCTCACAGTTCGTGAATTTGAGCCCCACATTAGGCTCCATGCTGACAGCACAGAGTCTGCTTGGGATTCTCTCTCTCCCTTTCTCTCTGCCTCTCCCCTGCTCATGGTGCATTCTCTCTCTCTCTCTCTCAAAATAAATCAACATTAAAAAAAAAAGAAAGAAGTAAAATAGTTACAACTATAAAATATGCCTATATGAGGCAAACTTAATGTTGGTGTTAGAACTCAGGACTGCGTCTGGAGAGAAGGGGAGAAGCAGTAACTTGAAGCCCAAGCAGCCCTTCAAGACCCTGGTAATGTTCGGATTCTGACCGAGGGAGTGGTAACACAGCTGGGTTCACTTTGTGATAATTCACTGACCTGCTCCCTTACCACTTCTACAGTTTTCCACAGGTATAGTTCAGTTAAAAATGTCTGCTTCAAAGACATTTTCTTTTCACTATAAGTGGATTTTTATTTCAAAGACTTTTTTTAACGACGTGTCCGTTTGAACAGTTTCATTAACCGCGAGCTGACGCCATATCTTCTTTGTAATAGATGACACTGAACATACCAATCCAATTCCTCCAATCACCATCATAGAAGAATCAGTTAAAAGCAAAATGCCAAAGTAAAACAGGAGTTTTACCTAATTTGGTCAATAGTAAATTGTTGATTTTTATAAATGCAATTATGCTGGCAAACTGTCAAAGATAGTCTTTGAGTAGTTTTCTAGAGGTGGTTACTTTACTAATAACAAACATTTATAAGTTGATAAGACGAATTTAACAGTTTAAACTCCGGCTGCTAAAAAATGTTTTGTTTCCTTAAGAAAAACAAGTCAATATATTAATTAGCATATGTAGAAAACTGGATTTAAAGGTGTTTTTCAGCTTTAAATTATGTAAGTTTAGATTCAATCATAAGTATTTGTTGAAGAAATGAAAGAATAGTTATGTCTTAAAAATAGTAGACATAAGAGTTATGTCTTAAAACCCTTGTAAGAACAAAGGAGAACATAAATTAAGACCTTATGCAATTAAAACCACCATGCAATAAAGCAGCAATAATAAAAATGGGTTTTACCCAAACATACCACATATCCTCTGAGGGGTTCGAGCAGCTCTCACATTAACTACTGCAGGGTGGAGACTGTTTAGGTTAGAATAGCAATTTTCATGCCAAATTTCAATCAAATGACTCACAAGAGACTATGAGACTGGGTCTTCAGCCAGGTGTTTTGTTTGTTTTCATTTCTACTGTATCCAGACAACTTTGTTCAGGTGTGAAATAAAAAGGACTCTTAAAAACAAGACTAAGATTCATGGGATTTGAGCATACACTCTGTTTGGGCTAATTTAAACAATGCTCTAAAAATGGCCATGTAAAACCTTGAAACAAAGGCAGAGCTCCTTCCAGCACACTCCCTGGCTAAGCCAGCACACCCGAGGGCCAGAGGGAGTGACCATGGGCAGAACTCTAAGACTCCTTACAACTTGAGACGATAGGCCACATTTCTTCAGCTTTTACAAAATTATTTAACTGTGCCTCTTTACTATTTACAGTTAAATAATTAAAACAAAACCATTAAAACAAAAATAAAGTGATTAACATTTATAGCACACACAGGCTATGGACACTTTTTCTGAAACTAAACTGGAGACCAAGAGGCATCATTCATGGGCAATTAAATACACCGTGTATTTCTTACATACTTCTTATATTTTTGAAAACCTTTCACTGAGGAAGAAAGCTTATAGGACCCATGTTAGAGATAGTAAGTTGGATATTCAATGCTTCAGTTTTAAGGTTCTTCAATATTTTTTCCCATGAAGGGCACTTTCTGTGGCTTATGTAATGCTTCTATACATTTGTCATTTAGTATATAGTACTTATTCTGTCTCTGTTATTAGAATTCTGCAAGATGAAATCTCTGATAAAACTCTTTAGGAGTTACTAGAACAAAAGAAAAATGAACTTCTTATCTAGACTTGATCTTAGAATAACAAACTGATTAAAATTCTCACATGGATAGTGTCAAGTGAATGTATCTCCTAGAGGACAACAAACACACCTAATAAGGCCCATGACTTCACATCTTTAATTCAAAAGACGTCTCTGTATCAAAGAAATTGTGTATTTAGAGTATAAAGGTGTAATGTACAAGTCTTCGTTACTTAATGTATGAGTAATAAATTCCAGGTATACTATGTATAAAATTAACTCTAATAAATAACTAACCATGTGATGGTCAAAAGTTTCATTTAAAAAGTACTCCGACCATGAAAATCTGTCCATCAAGGTTCTATCAGTTTATGTCTCTCTAAAATGTAACTGAATTTAAAACCCAAGAAAGAAAAACACTTATGATTTTTCTGTGGCTTTTTCTCTGTTTTATTCAATAAATAGTAATTTGAAGAAGCATATTCACTGCAAACAATTACAGTATTTAAATTCAGGCAATTTTAAAAAATAAATATTGAAAAATATTTATTAATCATTAAGGTTCCTTTTACATCATACTGGATTTTCAGCTAATGTAAATACATACTTTAAAATCAATTTCTAGGGGTGCCTGGGTGGCTCAGTCAGTTAAGCACCTGACTCTTGATTTCGGGTCAGGTCATGATCTCATGGTTCGTGGGTTCAAGCCCCCACATCATGCTTTGTGTTGACAGCATGCAGAGCCTGCTTGGAATGCTCTCTGCCCCTCCCCCCACTTGCACATACACTTTCTCTCTCTCTCTTTCTCTCTCAAAATAATAAACATTAAAAAAAAGTTTAGATCAATTTCTACATATAAGCATTTTATCTATTTATAAATAGATAAGTCAGAACTTATGTCTAGAAAACAGGCAGAATTGTATTTAAATTTTTTTTTTTTTTTCAACGTTTATTTATTTTTGGGACAGAGAGAGACAGAGCAACGGGGAGGGGTGAGAGAGAGGGGAGACACAGCAGAGAACCGAAACAGGCTCCAGGGTTCAGCCATCAGCCCAGAGCCCCGAATGCTGGGGCTCAACTCAATGGATCATGAGATCGCGGACTCCGCTGAAGTCGGACGCTTAACCGACTGCGCCACCCAGGCACCCCAAGAATTGTATTTAAATATCGTAAGACGGTACTGTAAAAAACTGGGAACCTAAATATCCAAAAGGGATATGGTGAAGTATCAAGTCTAAAATATAATGTGTAATCTCAAAATTATAATGATGAAAGTTGTTTTGGGACTTTATGTTACATAAATAAACCAAGATAGAATTACTCTATGTGGTGACTGTAACTTTGTTAAAAAAAAATACACACAGTTAGACAAGGACTGAAAGGGAACCTAAAGAAACACAGTTGTAAGTGTGAGTAGACTTTCAGGTGTCCTCCCCCCCTCTCCTACCTGCCATACCTCATCAATGAGACAACTTAAAGAAAACATCTGAAAATATTTATGTGAATCTCTGGGCAAAATGAGCCACTACCTATCATATGGACTTAATTTTCTTCTTGTTGCAGTAGGGTGAATAAAACAGCCTATACATACCAAATACACGGCTTCTAGGGAGGTGGACTAGAATCTGGAGTTGGACTTGCTGTTTATGCACCCTTTTCAAGTCTAACAGATTGAAGGGGGAATCAAACCCCTTGAATGTAAGAAAGCCTACATTTGGGGAACACCATGTCGATCAAACATACATAAAATAAAGTTATTTTCTTAGGAAAGTCCTTTCTAATAACTGAATTTAGATATGCATATATGTGTGTGTGTGTGTGTGTGTGTGTGTGTGTGTGTGTGTGTGTGTGTGTGTATGCGCGCACTCGGGAGTGTCATATACTTACCTTCGTCTGCCCTATTTATTTCGTGTTCTGGAAGCCTGGAGCTGGTGGGTCTGGAAGGTGAACCCACAGATGGCTGTAACGAGGGAAGTTCATCAACATCTCTCAAGTTAGCAAGCATATCTTGTAGTTTTGACCTATTGGGCCCTAGCCCAGAAATAGGGAGGAAGAGAACAAAAAAGAATGGAATTATCCAACTGTATCAAAATGGTGCCATAAACCTTATTCACATTTGCTTACATTCACCTTTAAAACTACCCTACTATATTAAAAAGTAATTACTTTCCAAGTTTTCAAATTATTTTAAAAGTTTATTTCTTGAGAAGAATTATGTTTTACATATATTTTTAAAATTAAGCTAATGGAATAATATCGCTATTTCAATAAAAAATCACGTTCATATGCAATTTGGACCATTAAAAATAATAGCATTCTTTTAATCCTTATATATTGCTCTAAATGACGACAGATACCAGGGATTGTGAAGCTACTGTGTACTGAGTTAAACGGCAACATTCCTTTTTGTCCATTTATGTGAAGTTGCATTCACTGCCTTACATCCTGAAGCTATGGTACCCGAGGTGAAGTCTCATACCCTACTGATTACTTACCTGAACTTTGATTCTTCATTCTCCCACATCCCTGTTTTGACTGTTTTATATAGGATAGAGGCTGAAACAGATCTTCGGTAGTTTTTCCTGTTACAAGTTTAATTAAGAATGGGAAAATCTTACCCATAGTCCATTATGGTTTTTTTTCCTATACCAGCAAAGAATACAACTATTTTTAAGCAATTTTAACTACTACCTAGAAATATATTTCAAGACCGTATGATTGGAGTACACGATTTGACTGGAAATATTTCTACTGGCCCATATCAATAGGAATCAAATTTTTCCAACAGTAAACGTTCAATTAAAAAGATATTTGTGGGGGTTTGTAAATTTCTGCTTCATACCAGGTCAAAGTTTTGCTTCAGTTCTGTTTTTACCATGTCTTCACTTGTTCCCAGATCACCATTTTATGAAAACAGTGTGAACTGATGATGATAAACAAAATGTGTGGAGCCTCACCCTGCAGTCCCTCTACCCTAAGATATTAAAATTTCTCCCCCTGTAGTCATTTTTCTTTGTCATACAAAAAAACTATGTGCTATATACCTGCATGCTGATCATAATCTCCAGATTCAGGAAAGCCAATAGCTTCCATTAGTAGGAATATTCCAGTCAAATGGTGCCATTTTAGATCGTAAGTGCTAAATGCCAACTATAGCAATGTCTTGATATTTGACAAGAACTGAATAACCAGTATAATAGTAGGTGGATTCTACGTAAATCCTGGATACCCTTCCAAATGAGAGATTTTTTACATTTCAAAACATTATTGTAGCATAATGACTTAAAGAAATATCAACTTATGTCAACCTGAAAATTAAAATATTCTCCTTTCTCATTTATGACATTTGCATTAAAATTTCAGTGTAACTGGTTTTGCCATGGCTCTGAAAAGCCCTAGTAAATCATGTCTCATTACTGTTCAAGATCACATTTATTATCCATACATTTGGATAAAAAGTACAAAATGCTCTTAATGTTTTAATATTAATATTTCTCATTATAATTTAATTTATATTGAGAAGGCATCAAATAATAGTTCTTAGTTATGTAATCGTTACAAGTATAACATCAAAAATAGCCACTGACTTTTTAATCCATTCAAGTTAAATACTTGTAACTCCTAGCATATTTTAAATAAAGATTTGAATTGTTTATCAATAACAACTACGCTTTTTCCAACTTTTAAATACATGTTTCACTAAACTGGATTTTAATCCCACTTTACACTACTTTAATATCCCAAAGGATACAATTCCTTTTGCCATAAAAGGGAGACCCATGTGCATATGGTCAACGGGAGTGGAAGCACAGGAGGTAGTTTAGCTTTGCTGTCCTAAAAAGGTGTTTTAGATGGTTTTCAGGGATGCTTGAAAGCTTCTTCAAGGTTTCTACTTTACATACTTAAATTAGATCTACTGCTAAACCTAATAATTTGCATAATTATATATATATATGTGTATATATGGTTCACAGGGCTAGCAATTTCATTTTAGCTTCCAGTTTTTATATGGCAGACATCTTATTAAAAAGAAAAAAGCTAATTGGCAATATTATTATAAATGAAATTGACCAAAATTCTTAAATTAGAAAATAAATACTTTTAAAAGTTGTGTATTTGACTCTCTGCCCTGTATAGCATATAGTAGTGAGAGCAAATGAACTGTGTGTTATGAACACACAGAATATTCAGGGGTAGAAATTAACTTTCTGTCTCCAAGGTCTAAAATTATATGCAGTAATTTTGGTGGATTGCCAGAGGGTCAAACTAGATGAGATTTAAAACTGTCAACAGTGAAAAATCATTGTGGTAATTAAGCACATATACTTTAAAAATGAAATTATCACTATGTTTTGAATATATAGTTCCATATTCTCACAAGGCTCTAGATTTATTATTGGGATATATTATGATTCCATAATCAGAAGCATGGTTGTTTTTATTTTTTTAAGGTCACAATCAAATAACTAACCACTTAATTTCAACCCCTGAGAGCAGATGAAAACGAAAGAGACCAGGAGCAGAAAAGAAAAAGAGTAAGTGGTTTTAGGAAAACATTGGGGAAAAAAATTGGGGGATATAAAAAAAGGAAAGATTTATGGTTTACAGATACAATGTTTTCCACTTACTCTTCACCCCCTTTTTCCCCTTTCTCTCCTTTTTGTATTGTTCCTTGAGTTTGGTAATTACTCCCTGGTCCACATTCCAGGCTTCAGGCATGAGACACTGGTCTTCCTTTTCTAAATAGAGTAAAACAAATGAAATAGCCTTTTTAAATTAAATATTGAACACTATAAGTCAATTCACTGTTGTGTCACTGAATGACAACAACCATTTTCTTCAATGTAACACTAATTTTAAAGTTATTGCTTATAAGTCATACAAAATGTAATATCTAAGAAACGACAATTCAATTTCCTAGGTAATAATATTAAATTTCTCTTGAAAGAAACAGAAAAAAACACTAGAAGATTTGAGTGACTTTTATTAAATTAAGCCCCACAACTCTATAATGAGAAGCCCTCATTTTCATTCCATTTTCTGAATTCAGTTATGACTGACTCACAAAAAAAACACTTATTAATTTATGTAATGAGAGAAGATTATTATTAAGAGATTATACAAAACAGTCTTCAATGATCTTTTCATTTCAAAAATTTTATATTTTTGGCATGTGTTCATCAACTAATCATTTTTTTTACAGGCCTTATAAACAGCACTTTGTAAACTTATCAATCAACCTTCATTCAAAATTTAAAGCAATTTAAGTGATTTGTTAGCCTATAAGTTCTTAAACAGGAAACTGAGCTAGCAGATAAGAAATTCAATCATTAATTTTCACTATTTCAAGAGAAGAAAATTTAAGGAGTAAATATGTTACATATTTTATACTTAGTATAAATTTATATACTATATAACATTATGTGTTAGCTCAGAACTCTTGCTTGAACTCAAGACTCATATCCAACTGCCCACTCTACATTTCCATGAGAAATTCTAAAAGATATCTCCAACTAAACATATAAAATCAAATTCCCCCCTTTTCCAAAGCCAATGTTTCATCCTGCCATTTGCTCAGACCAAAAAACTCCCTTTCTTTCACACCTCACATCAAATATTTCAGGAAATACTGTTTTTTCTACCTTCCAAACACATCTAGAATCTGACTACTTAGCACATACACTACTTTTCTAATCACTCTGTCTCTTGCTAGAATTACTACAATAATTGCCCCCTTTCCCCTAACATCAAGATTATTACCAACAATGGCTACTATAGGTAGTCTTTCTCAATACAGCAGCCAGAATGATGCTTTAAAAGTCAGACCATGTCACCCTTCTGCTCAAATTCCCCTGTAGTTCCCCATCTCACCAGTGGTCTATGGCCCTACACGATTTGATCATTTGTTACCATATTCCCCTTAGAATCACTCTGCTTCAGCCATTCTGGTGTCCCAGAATCCTCAAGCATATGAGGGCTACTGCTATCCTGGGGCATTTGCTGTAGCTTTTTTTTTTTCCCTGAATATTCCTCCCCTAGATATCTTACTGTCAACCCATCAATCCACTTCAAGTCTTTTGTCCAGATGTTACCCCTCAATGGGGCCTACCCCATTACAATTTTAAATTGTAATCTGTCTCCTCCAGGCCACCCTGAGCCCAGCACTCCCTATCTCCTTTACTCTGTTCTACTTTTTCTATTTCCCACAACATTTATCACCTTCTGACATGCTCTATCATTTATGTTTATTGCTTACTGGCTATATTCCCTTAGCAGACTATATGGACCACAAGGGTAAGGATCTTCACCAAATGACTTGGCACATAGAAGGCACTTTATCAATATTTGTTAGATGACTGGAATAAATCTAAATGAATCAGAACAAACAGGAATCTATTTTTAAGAAGTTTAAATTTCAATCTACAGTTTTAAAAACTTTATTGGGCCTCTGAATATACTAAACACAATAAATTTTAAAACTCTCAACATTTTTACAGCTCTAACTATAATCTATCAATAATAAAAATACTCTATTTTTCCAGAAAGATCTAACAATTTAAAATGTTAATATTTCGGGGCGCCTGGGTGGCTCAGTCGGTTGGGCATCCGACTTCGGCTCAGGTCATGATCTCACGGTTCGTGGGTTTGAGCCCCCCATCAGGCTCTGTGCTGACAACTCAGAGCCTGGAGCCTGTTTCACATTCTGTGTCTCCCTCTCTATCTGCCCCCCCCCCCCCCCCCCCCACTCCAGCTCTGTCTCCCTCTGTCTCAAAAAAAATTTTTTTTAAATGTTAATATTTCATCAATCAGCTCTTAGTAATAAATTAAACTGGGTAGCTTTTGGATCCTAGAGTGTCTTCCATTTTTTTTTAATTAAAAGTTAAACCTTATTGTTATCTTCACTAGACTCACAACAATAGTAATGGAAGGTCACAGAAGATGTGTGGTGAAATCTGTTACTTGCCAGAAACTAACAAGATTCTTTTTTTTTTTTTAATATATGAAATTTATTGTCAAATTGGTTTCCATACAATTGGTTTCTATGCCTTGTACAAACTGATGAAATCTGCCTAGAATGAGTAACTACAATTTTTTAAATCTGTACTTCTTTTTGCACAGAAGATGCCAGAGAGGAGTCTCTAAAACCCTCTATTACATTCTCATACTCAATTTCTACAAAATCTAGATTTACAAGTTCTACTATCTAGGCAGAAAACACAGAACAGTCTGTATACGGATTCAAATTATTTTCATGGATATTGCTTATATTTAAAAAAAAATAAGATAACCAATACAACTTTCTTTAAACAGACACACACATGCACACACACACACGCACACACACAGATATATACACCGGATAAAAGGTGACAATAGTAAAAAGTTCATAGGATGTTCAACATTTCAACATTATGAGAAATTTACAGTGTTCTTCAAGATGTTGCCCTGCTGGTAAAATACTGGTTTCTTTTACTTAACGTCTCTGGTGGGATCCATATGCTTCCTTACCCCATTCTGTTCCATCGCCTGCACTTCTAGACTCACTGTCTCCTTCCTCTGATGTAACCAAGAAGTCAAACTCCTTTAGGGCTTCCTTTGTATCTCGATCTTCACTGCTATCAGGCAATGCTTTTTTCCTAACAATCTAACGAAAAAACATGCTAAATTAAAATTTTAGGATATATTATGGAATTTCTTTATTTTTTTTAACGTTTATTTATTTTTGAGACAGAGAGAAACAGAGCATGAACGGGGGAGGGTCAGAGAGAGGGAGACACAGAATCTGAAACAGGCTCCAGGCTCTGAGCTGTCAGCACAGAGCCCGATGCGGGGCTTGAACTCACTGACCGCGAGATCATGACCTGAGCCGAAGTCAGCCACTTAACCGACTGAGCCACTGAGGTGCCCCTGGAATTAATTTAAATAAAGAAAAACAGTATCCCTTTCAAATCGAATGAGAAAACCCAACTATTGGTTTCTTCAGAAAGTAGATCTTTGTTATGTTAAATAGCTGTAATACCTAACCAAATCAATGGAAAACGGGTCATTTTGAAAAGATACACATTACACATTTCAAAGTAACCATTTAAACTTTGTTCAGTGATGGCTTGTTTTAAATAAACGAATGAAATCAGATATTGAAAACATTGTTATAGTCGATGAAAAATGTCCCTGACATACTACAGTACTAGGAGAACCACAACCATCTCTTACATTTCTTGGATGCAGCCTGTATAACGTGTAGACATTCTATTGTAACCAAAATGAGAAACATTTCACACAACAGGCAAAGGTTTTACAGAATATAACCATGATAAAGGTTAGCTCTACTACATCATTCCCTTAAAAATCTAAAATCCCAAAATGCATGCCTTAAGACTTAGAAAGTATTCGGTTAGAGGGGGAAAAAAGGTTCCCATTACTATTTCTACTGTTCCAACCTGGCATCAGTTTTCTCCAATAACTCTCTACATATTTAAACTTTTTCTAAAACCTTGATCTTTCAGAGTGTGACTTAACTTAGATTTACTAGAAAATCTGGCAAGGGCTGTTACGTCTCATTCTATCTATTTAGGAATGTCTCTGGAATCACAAATCCAGTTGAAGGATTAAAATTTAGGCTTAAGGCATGCAGCGGTAATTTTTGAGATCTATATGCCAATACTCGTTATGAATCATTTTCTTTTTAGTCACCTGCACCACTAAGAGCCCAAAGAAATTAGGATGACTGGTTTGCAGTTTCTTTTGCTACAATGGACTCAGTATCTCAACTTCTCCAGACCTCAGCTTCTTCATTTCATGCAAAATGGAAATAGCATGAGCTGATCAAACTGTATCAGTGGGTTACTGTGAGTGGTTTAAAATTTTAAGGGTTCAACAGACTCATCAATAGGACAGACTAGAATCTAGAAACAGACTCTAAGAGATAACAAATACCTGACTTGTATTACCCTGTTCTCCTGCTCATTCCTGGTATCAGTTACCAATCATAGTGCTTTTCATCTAAGATCAGATACAGTCTCAAAAATCCTTCTCAGTGCAGCACTCCAGGAAGCCACTATCAGAAGAAGAAAGCTGGTGCAATGAATGAAACCTTATCTGCCTTAACTGTCCTGGTGTGTGTGTGTGTGTGTGTGTGTGTGTGTGTGTGTGTGTGTGTGTGTGTGTAAACTGAATAGGAGAAATCAAGGATTCTTTAATGCTGCTACAATAACTGGTTTAACTATTCAGAATATTTCCCTAAAATCAAGACATACTTTTATGTTTACAGCATATTCCAATCTCCCATCTATGAATCTATTAAACAAACAAAAAAAGCAAGACCAGTTTGACATACTGTGGTATAGAAAACCCATGCTGAAGGTGAATTCTTTTGTAACCACATGCCAATAATTTGTTCTAATTTTCCCTGGGCGGCCAGACCAAGGTCAAAAAGTATCTCTCAAGAGTTATGCCAAGAGAAGATGCTAACCTTCATTGCTCCACAAACACACTGCCTAATCCCTCTTCTTTTACCCTAGAGGCTTGATCCCTCTCTTTCCTTGACCCTGATGGGACACCAGATATAAATTAGATAGGCCATCACCAACATCTTGTAGATAGAGAATTCTTGTTCTCGATGCTTAACAAAAAGGGCAGAGAAAATACAGACTTACATTGAAAGTCTGAACGTATTTTCAACATTCTTATTACTAAATATGATATTAAGTCACACAATTAACTCCGAATCTGGTCTAGGTTTCATCTCCTCCACATAACCTTATGAATGAAAATATGGCAACCTGCAGATCACTGTCTATCAAGTCTCCACAACCTAAATAAATTAAAACTCCTGTCGGTTTTTTTTTGTTGTTCTTACTTTTTTTTTTTTAATGTTTATTTATTTTTGAGAGGGAGAGAAACAGAGTGTTAGCGGGGGAGGGGCAGAGAGAGAGGGAGACACAGAATCGGAAGCAGGCTTCAGGCTCTGCACTGTTAACACAGAGCCCGACGAGGGGCTCGAACTCACAAACTGCTAGATCATGACCTGAGCCGAAGTCGGATGCTCAACCAAGTGAGCCACCCAGGCACCCCAAAACTCCTGTGTTTTTAATGGTTAGGCATAGAAGAAAAGTATGGTTACCAACAAAGAGTAGGATTAGTAAATGGGAAGGGGTGGGGTTTGTTGTAATAAGCACATATTACTTTTCCTTACATCTAAGGTTCCACTCCACTCTTACCTTCAGTGAGTTTACAAATCAGCTTAAGAAATTAAGGCAGATACAAAAAAGTTAGGAGTTGTACAGGGTGCCACAAAGATTAGAAAAAGGGATAGAAGGTCCCTTTTCAAATCATTAGAAGAAATATAACATAAATAGGGACAAGACTGTGACTAACACAACAGTTAATGATTCTTAATCCCATTACTTTTCTTCCTAAGTATCTGAATGTGGAGACTAAATCTTGCTGGTGAAGTTACCCTTCAAAATTTTAAAGATAATCACTTTATATATACATGTATAATTTCAAGATCATTATTACACATAACTAATGGTACTATGATAAGAATGAAGACCATGATGGTAAACAAAAAATAAGATGAAGAGGTTGATCTTGAGGAAGAAGAAGGAAAGAGGAGGAAATGATCCAGAATGTAACTCAAAGAACAATCAAACTGTAATAGAGGGTAAAGAGCAAGATAAGAGAACACAGCAGTTTTTTGAAGATACCACAATACTATTTTATAGCCTACACACAAATAAAAGTTACTAATGGCTTTGTTCCTATATTTTCGTAGTTGAATCTATTAAACGATTTTGATTAAAGAAATAACAGTTTAAAAACCTGTTTGTTCACGAAACATTTTAATAGAATAATTTTCAGCCATTCTCTATATAGCTTCATGATACGTTTTCTAAGTCATGCTTATTCATTGCTACATAGAGTTAGACTTTGAAAGTCCTTTTGGTATGTGGCTATTAACCTGCAGCCATGAAAATGAGTGTACAGTATCCTAAAAATTAGCAAAGCTTTACAAAGAAATTATTTGTTCAGAGATATTTTTTCCTGAAAAGCTAAAAGGATTTTTGAATCCAGTGCTTAAGTGGGGTTAAGTATTTTATATTAGCTGTGCCTTCACTGCTTGGTCACAGAATTGCTACAATCTGCACTAACTGGAAGATAGGAGATCTTTATGAATTTGATTACTTAAAAATTCTTGAAACCAGTTTATGGTTAGGAATTTCTAGGAAGACCATACTTAATACTTAGAATAATCAACTTACAGATTTTCTTAATATTTAAATCAATATAATGGCTAACAAATAATGTAAAGCATCATAATCAGCGATCATTTACCACTGAGTTACGAATAAGGTATTTTGATGGGAAAATATGATCTCAATGCAATCAACCCATAAAAATCACAAGGCAGTAGAAAATTTCCAAATGACTAGGACAGAGAAAAGGGATCATACAAGTTTAGGCATTTTCTTTTCATATAGGAAATTAAAACACATGCTATTACTACGTATTTGCATACGAAAAATTGGGGGTGACTACTTGAAGTTCAAATAATGCCCATGACAAGCCTGTACCAGCAGAATGCTACTGAACAGTGGCTCAGGGAAATAAGAATCTGGAAGTAATAATTTGAGAGTCTCTGATGGAAGCAAACAGCATCAAGAACAGAGGAGTTACACCCAGAAAGCGTATACATCATTTTCATATACAACATCTCATTTATTCCTCACAAAATCCTCTGAGGATAAGATGGGTATTATGACCTCTGTTTTACAAAGTATAAAACTAAGCCTGAAGGATAAGAAGCACAGGTAACTAGTAACAGAAATGGAACTTAACCCCAAGGCTTTCAATTCTAGGTCCAGTCAGCTTCCCTACCTTGCTTTCTACCTTACTCTTCTTAAATACACATGGAAGAGGAAATGTAAACATTTTTCTAAACAAAGCATGACCTCATCTATTACTTAAAAGAGGAGAAGGATGGGAAGAAGAAGAGAGAGAAGAGAGGAGGAGGAGGAAAAAGAAGGGAGGAAAAAAGAAGAGAGGGAAAATAACAAGAGGGGCTGAAGGTGACAGAACGGAGAAGGGAAGAGAAGGGAGAAGAAGCAAGAGACACTTCTTATTCCAGGAAACTACCATGGGAAAGTCAATAAATTTATGAAGATCTAAACAAAACTGCAGAATAACTTTAAATCTGTTTGAAGAAATCTAATGGAAGAGTTCTGAGAGTCTATAACATTTGTCTACCAAAGCAACCCAGGCAAAAGTCACAAAAACCTCATCAATTAGAGGTGATGCCAGTCGCCATCAGGCACCATAATGGGTCTGTCAGTTCTATTGTCTTATAGCACCAATAACGCTGCATTGGTATAACACACACATTTTTACCACATTCACCAGCTCTGCAGAAATACTGAAATGTTTAATGAGCTAACCAGTCAAAGAGTAAGGACCTTTCAAGATTTTTTTTTTTATATTTTAAGTAATCTCTCCACCCAACATGGGGCTCAAACTCACAACCCTGAGATCAAGAGTCACATGTACTACTAACTGAGCCAGCCAGGTGCCCCAAAGAGTGAGGACCTTTAAGAGAAAGCTGCCATCCTAAAAATATTCTTGAATTTTAACTCAATACTAAAACCTCTTAGATTAAATGTCCCCAAATTCACACACACAAAAAAAGTTAAGAGTTTAGGTTGAAGAACACAGATTATTTTTAAAGTACACATAATGATCCCTAAAAATATTAATATCTGAGTAACCAACTCACCGTTGAAGTATCAATGATGCTTTTTTCTCTTCCATCAATGTCATCATCTTCATCTTCATCACTGAAATCTGCAGCTGCACTTTCAAGGAATTTGAAATTATCCAGCACGGAGGCAGAATCTGTTAACTCGGATTTTCTGGTTTAAAACATGTGCGTCTTGCTCAGTTCATTTTTTAAACTTAACATAAGAATTAATCCATGATATGCTGCATTAACTTGTCTATATTATAACTATGACCCCTCAAATCATGTTATGAACGACACTGATTCTTATCCATTACATTTCCATGGATTTTAATTGGAAAAGCACTATAGGAAGTGGTTACTCTTAAAGTACTTTACAATCATAACTATTCAGACTAATGGCCCCTCCTGATTCAGTATTCTTTTGATCCTTAAGTCAAACTTAATGTATTTCTTTTTAAAAATATTTTCTTTTTAAACATTTAAAAATATTTTCTATTTTTCTCTGTTCTTTTACCCTCTGCAACTCTTCCTCCAACAATATAAATTTCTATAACTAAAAAAATAACTAGTAGGTCAATTTTCTCTGATGCAATCTTACATTTCTGCTGAACAGCTAAGGAGCTGAAAAAAGTAAATGTGCACATGAAATAACTTATTAGTCAAACTAATATTACTACAAAACTTGATCGTGTTAATGAATAAACCATTCATTTTCAAAATGACTGACTTTTCAAACATATACAATTTTAATTTAGTCCCTCAAAATAAATCTAGTAAATAATTTCCTAATAGCCAGAATAGAATGATTTCTCTCCAGTTCATTAGGAAATGTTTTAGATAAAAGGCATTTTCTTAAAAAAAAAAAAAAAAAAAAATTAACCACAACTATGGACAAAATTTTCAAAACAGATACATCTCAAATTTCAAATCTGTTGAGAGCTATGTCTTTGGTTTTTTTCCACCCTATTCTCTATCCCTACATAAATCAGACAGATTCAGAATAATACCCTTTTCAGTTTCAAAACACAGGTCAAGGACAAAACACAAGACAATTAGAGTGGTCTTTTCTGAACATCTTTACAATGACTTACAATAACCCTTTAGGTAAAACTATAATCAGGAATAAGGCCTGCATTGTTTGTATCTACACAAAGAAACAATCTAATCTTACATTTATAAAAACAAGTTAATGTAGTCTTAGTTATTACTGAATACATTTAAGAAGGGTCCAATGACATTTGTTTAGAGAACTTATAAAAGTCCTATTTTTGAGCCTTTACCCATATCCCATAATTTTAACGTTCCAACTAACAGAAACGATGTTCCTACTAGAAAATTGTATAGAGTTCAATTTAAACCATTCTTATGGCTTTAACATGCATTAAAATGAAGTAACATAATATTTAGACTTTCATAGAATCTTTGGCTTTTTATTTAAGAATCATGCCAACATTTTGTTCAATAAAGAATCTCCTTATTTAACTGTTCATGTTCATTTTAAACAAAATTACATGTAATTGTATGACATATGATCCAAAATGCAACACAAAATATTTCAAATAGCTATTGAATTTCTCACACTGATTCTATCAATTAAAAACATAAACTTAAAATAGATAATTTTCAAAAGAAAGAGGGGTTACAGTATTATTAAATACACAAACATGGTTAAAAGTTTTACTTCTAAAAAATTTGAGGAATTTATAGGAGTTCTAGGTCACCAGGAATGAAATTTCATTTTTACAGATTTGAACTGAATTTTGAAAGATGATCTTTTGTGAAGTTCTAACAGTAAGTGACTGAGCTTCAAGATATTAAAATCTGTATTAAATCTATAAATTTCAAGCAAATAAAAATATCTTAAACAAAAAATATTATAATAATCACAAATAACTCTAATCCCTATAGGTTATCTTCTACCAAATGAAATTTCCATTTTTTAATTAAACTTTATAAAAAAATTATTCCTGTAACAGTATCTAAAATTGCAAGTATCACAAGTGTCACCCATAAACCAAAATTATTTAGTAACCCAGACAAAATACTCACCCAATCATTGCTGTCTCTTTAACTTCAGCCTCTGTGCCATTTATAACTGAGTCCTGATTTCTGTCATCTTCCCTGTCCGTGACGTCACTTGAAAAGCCCAAGAGAGCTCGTACTCGTTTAGATTTCACATCTAGAATAGTATCCGTGTAACCCACCTCCTGTAGATACCTGTGTGCGAAGAGGATCCTTACAATCCAGTCATTTTGGAATCAGTATTCTATAACTTAACATGTAAATAAAAGTATTTCTTTAAATCCATTGCCTGCAGAAGACTTAACAGTACAGTACTATGCTGGTAAGACTGGCTAATAAATAATCTTCCAGCTGCCAGATGGAGATGTCTCTTGCAGTACCAGCCTCTACGGTCACTGAAAAAAATCAAAGAACTATACAATACACTATTCATTACATTTATCATAAGAAGAAGCTGTTCCTTAATATACCTAATAGCACATTCTTTCTTCTAGGCAGGATTGGAGCAAACTCACTCTCAGATCCTTAATAAATTACTATTTTATAACAGTAATTATTATAACCAGTACTCTTTTTACATTTCTGCTATGAAGTGTTTTTGGATCAACTGTCTGAGAGCTAGAGAGAATATTTCTAGCATATCTGCTTTCCTCCAAGACATACAAGAAGAGTACATCCCAAAGAGTCATTTCTACAGAAAGGAAAGTTTTATCCTAAGCCAACTCTAAAGTAAAAATAGCCCACAATTCAATTGTGGATGTGGGATGCGTGTGTGCACGTGGGTGTATGTGATACTGAGAGCCAGCGGCACAGAAAAAATAGGTTTGTACTGAGAGCTAGACCTGGTTCTAAAGCCCATTTCTGCCACTTTCTTCCTGTGTAACTTTAATTCTCCTGAACTTCAGCTTTCTTCCCTCCTAAGAGTGACACATCTAATACATTGGGTGGCATACAGAAGGCATTCGTTATCCTTTAACAGCAAAGATCGATCAAAAAAGACCAAAAACGGTAGCAGCAAAAACATGAAAAAGGCAAACGTCATGCCAAAATACTGTCATTAACCAATGTGACAGACAAATATTAGGCATGAACCTATAAGTAAGCATCAAGTCTATGAAATGAAAGAGAAAACAAAGGTGGACAAGATAATTAGTTTCAGGTCAGTTTATTTCAAGATCAGGTATTAAAAGATTACAGCTCAAAGAGATATTTCACAAAGATGTGTGACTGAAATGGAGTAAGTGTATCTTACCAAATCAAGACACTCATTTTTCAATACTATCCAATATTTATAGAAAGGTTTTGATGAGGGGCACTCAGGTGACTCAGTAGGTTAAGCGTCTGACTCTCGGTGTCAGTTCAGGCAATGATCTCACGGTTAGTGAGATCAAGCCCCCCATCAGGCTCCATGTTGGCGGCACAGAGCCTGCTTGGGATTCTGTCTCTCCCTCCCTTTCTGCTCTTTTCCTGTATGTGCACGTGCATACTCTTGCTCTCTCTTTTAAAATAAAATAAACTAGGGGCGCCTGGGTGGCGCAGTCGGTTAAGCGTCCAACTTCAGCCAGGTCACGATCTCGCGGTCCGTGGGTTCCAGCCCCACGTCAGGCTCTGGGCTGATGGCTCAGAGCCTGGAGCCTGTTTCCGATTCTGTGTCTCCCTCTCTCTCTGCCCCTCCCCCGTTCATGCTCTGTCTCTCTCTGTCCCAAAAATAAATAAACGTTGAAAAAAATAAATAAATAAAATAAAATAAAATAAAATAAAATAAAATAAAATAAAATAAACTTAAAAAAAAAGGTTTTGATTAAAATCTGAATAAATGTTTAACTTTCCTGAATTTAATTAGTTGTTCTTACAAACCAATACAAAGGTGTTATATTTTTCTGTTTTTAACATTTGATACATACCTATCTTTGTCAACAAAATCACATTACAAGTAACTGTTTTAAAAACTGCTCTTTCCATAGGTAAGTTGGCTTTACTAAAGAAAACCTCTTTATTCATTGATAGAACGTCACCTTTTCCTTGAGGGGGCAGATTGTGAATCTTTTAAAAGTTTTTGAAAATTCTCTCTCAGATTGCTCACTGTGATAACCACTTCTCATTTAAAAAATCATCATTTTAAGAACACTCATTTATAAAAAGAAAAATTCATAATCATATTTAAGACCAAAGTGAGGGCACCAGTGAAAACCACTTATTAAATATTAGTGAATTCTCATTTTCTTTAACTTTGAATAGATAACAAATACATAAAAGGACACATTTTAATATTCTCTCTGCCATTAGTCAAAAGGAATGGCTGGCACAAATCCACTCTGGAAACCATAGATGTAGACTATTCACAGGAAACCCCAAAATCCAAAACGGGTAGTAAATTTCATTTTACTCAAGCACAAATTAGAATACCAATTTCAAATGTGATATGCAAGAACCAGGCAGTGAGCTGGTAAAGTGGGTTATAGCCCACCACCTGACATCTGAACCTCATTCCAGCTTTGTTTCCTCTTTATAGTCTCAAAACACATTTTATAGGAGAAAGTACATGTTAGTGCAATATCTGCAAATTGGGAAAATTAAAGAAGTTCTTCAATTTATTTAAAATAGAAAATTTTAAAAACATAACCCAAAATTTTACATCTTAATATTGATTAGACTTCTATTAGGACACACGTATATTCATGTACAAAAGATGCAAAAATAACTTTAGGAATACAGAATTCTTTAAAATGTAAACATAAGCATATATTAAAATTTAGAAGCTTAAAATTAATCTCTGAGGGATGCCTGGGTGGCTCACTCGGTTAAGCATCCAACTCGATTTTGGCTTAGGTCATGATCTCACGGTTTGCGGAATTAAGCCCCAGGTCAGGCTCTGCTCCCAGTGTGGAGCCTGCTTGGGATTCTCCCTCTCTCTCTGCCCCTCCCCAACCCCCCTCAAAATAAATAAATAAACACTTATTAGATATACTCTTTGATAAAGCTAAAATTATAAAATAAAAGAATTTATTCTTGGTAATTCTTGTTAATATTTAATAAAAAATGAATTCTACCACAGGGGGAAAATGTGTAATATGAAAAAGGAACAGTAATTCAATTAAGTTTTTTCATACCAGCAGTCTAACAATAAAAGAGATAATATTATTGTACTGAGTTGCAAATGCAAAAAAAATATATATGTATATATCTATATATATCTATATATAGATATATCTATAGATACATATATAGATATATATATACGTGTACCCTGATGAAATATACTTCTCTTTGTTTAACCACAGGATACTTACTGTCTGAGTAGTTGTCGACCTTGTTTCCACATTAACTGGCTGTTTTGTTGTGGCTGTACCTCTGTTTCATTACCTTCATCTGGAAAACATTAAATCATAATAAAAATGCCTTGCTTTGTACATTAGAGAGTATCTCAATTCATAAAATATGTCCAATAAAAATTTATTAGATCAGAATATGCAAAACTACACTGTAAGGTATGTTTTAGGACAATGTAAATTCTGTTTTTCAAATCTAATTTCCATAACAAAATATAAATTCATTATAGCTACTAGATTCCCCTGAGAGTAGCAGAACTAAAATAACGACATTTTCCCAATCTCTAGTAGCCTAAGAATTTTCCTCCAGGACAAAGACTGACTCAAATCAAGTCATACAATAGGAGTCCAATGAAAATATTATGGAGCACCACATCAGAACTAGAACAAAGTACTCAGGAATGATGACAGAAAAGCCAGTCTGGTAAAGAGTAGATATAGGTAAGAAATAATTTCAATCCACATCTATTTCCTTCACTAGTTATTAAGTAAAAACCTCAAGTATTCTTTTGAAGACGTTCCTTGAATGAAAACCACCTAAGCCCTGTAAAGCTTTAATTCATCATTTGGTAGACGCTGAACCCTTTTAAGATAGTAAAATGAAAAGAGCCCTCTCTGTGATAAATCTGGACTACAGAATTTCCAAACTATACTCTGACTCAACTTTAAAAATACAAAAAAAAAAAAAAAAAAAAAAAATTCACACTTTTCATCAGCCCTTGATCAAACTGCAAGAAACTGTGATCTCTTACAGGGTTTTATTCAAGTGGAGATATAAGAGAGATTGGGAAAATTTGTTTTATGATTTTCATGTTAAGCATTTACTATGTTCCAGATGCTATGTTAAAAACACATATGTTATCTTTTTTAATCTTTACAACCCCAAATCCCCATTTTAAAGATGAGCAAGACGAGTTTTACAAGTTAACTGTAAGATTCCCAAGTTAGAAACACAGTTGTAAGGTGCTGAAATGACATGTGACTCCAGAGTTCTGTTTCCCTCTACATGCTCTCACTACAGTGAGAAGAAATTAAAGAAATAAGTAAATGAGAATTTGGTCTTCCATTTTCATTTTTCTCCTAAAATAGTTAGGCCAAGCTCTGTGATATACCAAAGAAATAGCAGTACAGTGGGGGGTGGGAGGGATTAAGATACCTTAAAAAGATAAGAGTACTTTGGGATAGGATGACTTCAGAGGGTATACTTTAAAAAAAAAAAAAAAGAGGGCAAAATGATGTCCCAATATTAAGGAAAAACAACACATCTGCTTCCATTGACCCACAAATTCAGGAACTATGGTTCACAAATGGTTCCACAAATTCAGGAATACACTATGGTATGTTCTAAATATATCCCCTTTTTAAGTGAAGTAAGTAACCTATACCTGCCAAGTGAGAACATGTGCATTGGCATTTCAAAAGACTAAAAATTTCAGATGTGAAAGAACTTTTGAGATCATTTAATTTCCCATCAGTAATGGCCCGAATTCTTTCTATACTATCCTCAGATATACTCAGCTGTCTTCGCCTACTTTGGCAGCTCATGATGTTATTACCAAAGTGTGACACATGCACTCATTGGAATACTACTCAACAAGGAATGAACACACCAACACGAATGAATCTCAAATGCATTGTGCTAAGTGAGAAAAGCTAGAATCAAAAGGCTATATTTATTCTGTATGATCCTGGAATTCATATGAGTTTCTGGAAAAGGCAAAACTACAGGAACATAAAACAGATTAGCGGCTGCTCAGGGATTAGAGTGGGGAAGAAGGGTAGTAGGAACAAGACCGTATATGTTTGTGAAAACACTAAAAAAGGCAAATTTTGCTTATGTAAATTATATCTTAATAAAAAATAAATTAAGCCAAATCAAATAAGAATGCATCTTCACCCTCTTTAAAAAAAAAAAAGTATATTTGTATACTGATATAAAATTTGACTCCCTGGGTAACGTATTTTTTTTTTAAGTCTTGGATTAAAATAAAACTTCTGTACATGTGAACCTAATTTTTCCCACCGTTCTTTATCCAAGTTAAAACTCACAGTTCTCTCAATCAACTATCAGATTCACTCTTACCTTACCAAGTTTAAAAAAAATGACATCAAAAAAAGTGAGGATTTTATCTAAAGTGGTAAGAGTTGAATTGCTTGGTAATATTAAAAGTACTTGAGTCGTACTTCCAGTGCAGTTGGAGAAGAGGGACCCAATTTACCCTCCTGCTTGTATAACAAGTACAAAACAAAATAGATGAAATCATGGTTAAGACACTGGACATCAGGCAACAGAGGAAGATGATCCCTGAGAGAAGAGAAGCACGGTGAGCCCTGTGATTATTCCCGCTGCCTGGACAGCGTTTCTAGATCACAGCATAGGGAGGGAGAACAAAAAACAGTATCTGAAGAAATGATGGGTGAAAAGTTCCAAGTTTCATGAAAACTATAAACCCACAGATCCAAGAGACTCCACAAATCCCAAGCACAAGAAATATAATGGGGGGGGGGGGGGGGGGGGGGGAGAGAGAACCTGGGAACTATACCATAGCACATCATAATGAAATTGCTTAAAACCAATGATCAAATGAAAACTCTTCAAAGCAGCCAGAGAAAAAGGTCACATTCTACATACAGAGGAATAAAAGTAAGTTTGATAGAAGGTATCTCATCAGAAACAATGCAAGCAAGCAAAATAAAGATGTTTCAGACACACAAAGGCTGGAAGAAGTCATCGGCAACAGCCCATACTACAGGATACATAAAAGCCCTTGAGGCAGATGGAATACGATGCCAGAAAATATGGATCCCCACAAAGGAATGAGGAGCACTGGAAATGTATACTTTTTGTATTATTTAAAAATCCCTTTAAAAGAGAATTGATTGTTTCAACAAATAATGAATGTAGTGTGACTTATAATATAATACAAGAAAATATGTGAGAACAACTACCAAAGAGAGAAATGGAAATACGTGGGTTCTCATGCTACAGCAGAAGTGGTATACTGTCACTCAAAGATAGATGGCGATTTAAAAAAAAAAAAAAAAGAAGTATACTATTAACCCTAAAGCAACCACCAAACCAGCAAAGAGTTATAGCTAATAAGTAAGCAAGAGAGAAAATAGAACCGTAAAAAAAAAAAACAGAAAACAACAAAAACTAGATGAATCCAAAAGAAATCTAAAAGGAAAAGGGAGCAAAGAACAGACTGAACAAACAAAACAAACAGCCAAGGTGGGAACTTTAAATCTAACCATATCGATAGTCACGTGAAATGTAAATGGTCTTAAACATCGTGATGAAAAGGTAGAATCTGTCACTCTGGATAAAAATATTCTATTTTTTAATAAGTACCTGCCTTCTAATATTAAATAGAAGAAACTGAACTATGGAAAGATAAATAAGATTAACATAATCTGGGGTAATATTCTCCTAAAACAGAAATGTGAAGGTTTGGAAATAGAACAAAACAGGGAAAAAAAAAAAAAAGGCAGAAAGGAAACGAATTTTACAGTGAAAAATGTTTCAGAAAATGTCTGGATTATCAGTTTAAACAAAAGTAATATAAATGGATAAAAGATCAAGCACTAGGAAAATTCCTGCTTCTTTAAAGTTTACCTGTGGTGAACACACCACCTTCGACCCTCTCCTCGTCACTGTCCTCATCACTGTCACCTACGAATCCCTCGATAACGCTCAGAACCAGGCTTACATGCTTCCTCTGCAACCAAACGTTTACATCATCTTGAGCAGTTAACATTCGTGTGGGTGATCCACCTTAGCCTCCCCACAACCACCACCCTCTCTAGCTGTCAGGCCTCAGATCCTGTCATTATGAAGAACAGACACAGATGCAAACTCACTCTCTGAGCATATCCTTCAGGCTCATACTCCCACCTCACTAGTTCTTTCATTTAGCTGGGACCTCAGGTCAGGGGCCAGCAAATTACAGCCTGCAGGTCAAACGTGGCCCGCTGCACTCATTCATTTCTGTGTTGTGGCTACTTTCATGTTAGGATGTCAGAGCTCAGTAGCTGCAACAGGTAACATATGGCCTAAAAAGCCCAAACATTACTACTTGGCCCTTTACGGGACACCAGTGTGCTGGCCTGCTCCAGACAACAGCCCATCCCCTTACTTTTACCCATTAGCCTCCTTTTTGTCTTCACTTCCTTCCCTCCCTAGTTTTAGTTCACGGTCTATCACTGCAACTGTTCTTTAGCCAATATCCTCAAGTTACTCCTTCCTTTTGTCTCTCCATAAATTCAATGAATTCCATTATTAACTATTTTCATCCTACTTAACTTCCACCCAAGCTGTCAAGGGTGTAAACCAATGCTTCTATATAAACTCATGATCACACACCTTGACTGGACCCTTAGCTTTTCTCAATCCTACTATTTGTTATCAGTTTGTCCTCCTCACTATTATGTTAAACCTTCTCTACTTTTCTTAAACCTGTCATACACCCTTAGCAGATAATCCAGTCTTACACATAAAGCTATCATATTAAATACCCACCACCAAACTGAAACCCAAACTCACAAACCCAACACCCAACTTCTACATTCGTTCTTGGGAACAATAAAAGACATATTCCTCCCAGCATTGTCCAGCTAATTCAGAATCCAGTCCCTATCACTTCTTCAGATACCTTCCTATTTTAAATACCTCTTCTCTTTCCTTTTTATTTGCTCCTCTTCTAAGAAACACTTGCACGCATGTACACACACACACACACACACACACACACACACACACACACACTTTCCTTGACCCCATGGATCCTTTCAGCTGTCCCTGTTCTTCACCTTCACAATCTAAACTTCCTGAAAGATGACTACACGGAGTCTTCATTTTCCATTCATGTCTTTGTTTCTGCCCTCACCCTTCTCCTAAAACTGCCCAAAATAATGACCCATGTATCGCTAAATCTTAAGGCTACTCTTCAGAACCTCTGGCCATTACTCACGGTGCTGTAGAGTCCTTTCCTGTGGAATCCCTCCCTTCTCCTGGTTTCCTTCCCCATTAAGATAATTCTTATCAGTTTCCTTTCCGGCTTTCTACTCTTCTACCAGTTTTGTATTAGAGATCCTGGTCCTCCTCTTACTGTGCATTAAGTCCCTGGGTGAGTTCTTTCTCTCCAGCGACCTGAGTGCCCTCGGTACTACATGCTGAGGCCTCTCAAATCTACATATCCAACCCAGACCTCTGGTTGGAGCTTCAGACCCACACAGCCAGCTGTCTACCAGCCAGCTTCACTTGACTGCCTGACAAATAAATCCAACAGTGAACCCATCATTTTCCAAATCTACATCTGAACTAGTTTGCAAAACTGGCAGTGTGGGGGCCATCTTTGAGTTTTGAGTGTCCCTGTTTTTCATCCCTTACGTAGAAACAAGAATGAATTCCTGCAGATTTTACTTCCTAAGTACTTCCTGAACACACCCACCCTCTTCATCTCCACTGTCAGTGCCCTGCGAAGGCAGCTTTCCACACTCAGCCAGGTGTGTCCCATCACCCATCCAGATCCTCTCTCATATGCCTGCTACACCTGCCGCCCATGGGGTATAAGAGCAAATCTGATCACGAGAGTTAAGATCCTTCAAATGCCTTCTCAAAACTCTTAGGATAAAATGAGAATCCTTAACATATTTTACGAGACACGTGTAACATACTTTACCATCTGCCCCTCTGGTTAACTCTCTAGCTGCATCTAGAAACACTCCTTCCCCGGCCTTCCTCTACTAGCCGGTTATTTTATTTCTCAAATATGCCATATATCTTCCCTCTGTCTTTCTCCTACCTCTCATTCAACAATAATTTAGTAAGTTCACTTTCCCTGGCCAGTTCTTACTTGTCCTTCAGACGCTAACTGTTCATTTCCTGCAAAAAAGCCTTTCTTGACTGCTTAAGCCTAGACTTGGTTCCCCTGCTATTGTGCTTCTTAACACCTATTACCTTCCCCATTATACAGGTCATTTTATTGCAATCACTTTTTTCTTATCTCCCCTGTAAAAATCCAGTAAGGCACTGTTATCTCATTCACTGAATCTGGTGCTAGGTCTGACAAGCACTACATATTTAATATTTGTAAATAAATAGTTTGAAAGATCAGTAGATGAAATCACCCTTGGTACTATGTGTTGTATACTAAGAAAATAAACCTGAAAGTTAGGAACTATTTCCTCTATTTTTCCCAGTTTCAGATAAGGAACAGAACAATCTCAGAAAGATTAATACCACAGGTATTTAAAGTGTCAGGGCAGAGTTAAGAACTTACACACATAAAAGTCAAACTTCTTCTAGAGCCACTTGTTTACTTATAAACATGTTGTATATATTGCAACTAGACCTTTACTAGGTGCAAGTTTACTCCTAAATTAATATTGAAAACATTAACTAAATTAAAAGTTTACTCCTAAATTAGTATTGAAAACTTAGGAAATAAACTACTTTATATAAAAGTACTGATTGTATCCCTTCTGTGAATCAGACAAGGTAACTTTTAGGACAGCCTTTGACAAATAGCCTACATTTAAAAAAAGAAAACAAAATTAATTTAAGTGTATCTCAAGTCAAAAGAAGAGACACCAGAGTAAGACAGAACAATTTAAAAAAACAAAGCAAAAAAAAAACGAGCCAATGATCAACTGGTACCACTCTAAATCTCAAGGACTCAATATTCAGCTGTGGAAATGCGTACACTGAATTCAATTATAAAATCAGTGGCACGTTCAGAACTTACTTTGTAAATTTTTTTTCATACATTGTCAAATATACGAGCAGTGTGGTTGGGGCACCTGGGTGGCTCAGTGGTTAAGCATCAGACTCTTGATTTCGACTCAGGTCGTGATCAAACGGTTCGTGAGTTCAAGCCCCACATCGGCCTCTGCGCTGACAGTGCAGAGCCTGCTTGGGATTCTCTCTCTCTTTGTCCCTCCCCTGCTCATGCTTGCTCTCTCTCTCTCTCTCTCAAAATAAACAAACAAACAAACAAAAAAAAGCAGTGTAGTAAAATAGGACTAATATGAATTTTGGATTCTATACATATGGGGCACCTGGCTGTCTCAGCGGAAAAAACATGCAACTCTTGACCTTGGGGTCATGAGTTCAAGCCCCATGCTGGGTATAGAGATTACATACATTAAATAAATAAACTGAAAAAATATATATGTGAATTTTTGAGTCAACAGACCACGGCTCAGATCCATATTCCCATTACTTAATAGTTGTGTGACCTTGTACAAGTTTCTCCACTTCTCGGGGTTCAAATTTCACTTAGGTAAAATTAGAGCCATGTCATCTTTACGAGTAACTATTTTATGAGTAACTATCTGAAGCTAATATACACAAAGCACCTAGCCCAAGGCATGTATTTCAGCAAATGATATAAACAATAATTGAGATCTTCAGATATTTGATCTTGAAATTTAATCTGAAATTATGTCAAAACATTCTCATTTGAAACATGGTAACTTTTGAACAACTTTTCTTACTATCCCTTATACCTACTAATGTGTCATTTACATCTATATTCCTTAATATCTGATTGCTTACAAAGTGCTATTTTTGTAGGGATGAAAAGACAGGAAAAGAAAAAAGAAGAAATAACACAAAAAGATAATAAAAGTTTTAGCTGTTAAAAGATGGTCTGGCTGCAGAAAACTCCCATGGGTAAGAGAGTCCAAAAACAATCTTGCACCTGCAGCTGAGGGATGAGGTTGAGGAGATTAGGAATTCTCTGTATTTGAGAAGTCTCTGAACTCCATCATCCCTTCTCTTTCTCTCAGGATTTCAAGGGCATGATGTACTTTAAAAAGCACATCTCAAAGTTCCCATTAACATTGGGGAAACCCAACAAGACACAGTTATGTCAGTGCATTACTCCATGAATTCTGGTCCTTCCAGTAAGTGGAGAACAAAGGAGAAAATGGGAGGACGAAGAGGAAGAAAGGGGAAGAGGGAAAAGGAAGGAAGGTGTTGGAAAATAATCTAAATGACACTAAATGTTTGGTGCCAAAAATGAGGAGGTCAGAAAAAATAACTAATATGCAAATAATTAGAAATTAACTTGCCATCATAAGTATTATTGCTACAAAAAAACTAGGTATCAACTTCTTTTTAATCACTTAAACTTCCTTTAAAATTAGCTTACCAGAATCATAGCTTGGAGGCTTCATATCTCCCTGATTCAATTCTGTCCCATATTTCAACTTGTGGTATTTGGCTCTAACAAAGAAATAAGAAAATACAAACCATCTTAAAATATATTTAAATTAACTTTAGGATATGTAATAGGAGTAGTCATCATAGCCTTCCATGGTGTCAAAGTAGTAATAAAAAGTGCTTGTCATTATTATTATTTTATTGTTGTCATACCATCAAGTGCCATCATAACAAATAGAATAACACTGAGAACCACAAATCTTTGTATAATTACAAATGAACGATATAACATTCTAATTTCTATAGTATTCAAATTTTCTTGATGATCGCCAAAGTACAATTCTACTATAAAAGCAGTAGATAAGTTTGGATTGTGAAATAAGCCTATAGAAGACTAACCTTTCTCAAAATTTACATATTTAAAAAGAAAAGTCATCTAGTGGTATGTATATACAATGGAATATTATGCAGCCATAAAAAAGGATGGGATATTGCCATTTGCAACAACATGGATGGACCCTAGAGGGTATTATGCTAAGTGAAATAAATCAGACTGAGAAAGACAAATATGGTTTCACTCCTATGTGAAATTTAAAAAACAAATGAGTAAACAACAAAAAGCAGACTCAGACCTATAAATACAGAGAACAAATTGAGGATTATCAGAGGAAAGGGGGCTGGAGGCATGGGCAAAATGAGTGAAGGGGAGTAGGAGATACAGGCTTCCAGTTATGGAATGAATAAGTCACAGGAATAAAAGGCACACCACAGGGAATATAGTCAATGATATTGTAACACCATTGTATGGTGACACATGGTAGCTACAAATGTAGTGAACATAGCATAACATATAGAGATGGTGAATTACTATATTGTACACCTGAAACTAATGTACCATTGTGTATCAACTATACCCAAAAAGTGTTTTAAATCATCTGTATTACCCCTTGCCTTGTCAGGCAATTATGATTTGCCAAGTATGCATTATAGTAAACAATCCAAAGGAAGGAGGGGGAACCAGCCCAAATCACTCATGTTGAATAAGCTATTTCAGTAGGAATGAATAAATTTTTTTTTAATAGTCAAGATATCCTTTGCCTTTTCAGGAAGCAATCAGGAAGAATTATAAACAGAAATTCTTACCTATTTCCCTTTAAAAGCTAGCTAAATGTAATTATTTATGGCTAACCTGATTTCACTATCTCAGATTTAATCATCTGAGATCAGAAAAATAATGCAGATAAGGTAAAAATTGTAAAGGTCAACAAAAATATCCATACTTACTTCGTGTACTTCTATATTTTGATTGGTTTGCTTCCCCAAAATATTGAGGCCATTTGTAATATTCAATGTAAAAAGGTTACACAATAATTTGAAAAACCAAAGTAATGAAGAAGGAATGAAGGGATAATATAGCCAAATTGAAAGTTAACTTTTTTATAAAACTAATTGAGTACTTAACATAAAGAAGTTTAAATATTTCAATATTTAAATTTAAAGTTTCAATATTTTAATATTTAATATTTAAAGTTTCAATATTTCATTATCATTACAAAAATGATATAAAGGAAAATTATTTGCTCAAACGTGCAAAGTACTGGATTCATATTCATTTGCAGTTACAACAGAAAAATCAAAGTTTATATAGAGGGGAATCTTAAGAAAACATGAAAATTACAACAGCTGATGTTCTACATAAGGTAGGTGGTGGGTATATGAATAGATTTTACAATAGTCTTTATATGTTTTACATATGTATAAAATGTTTTGTGATAGGGGCGCCTGGGTGGCGCAGTCGGTTAAGCGTCCGATTTCAGCCAGGTCACGATCTCGCGGTCCGTGAGTTCGAGCCCCGCGTCGGGCTCTGGGCTGATGGCTCAGAGCCTGGAGCCTGTTTCCGATTCTGTGTCTCCCTCTCTCTCTGCCCCTCCCCCGTTCATGCTCTGTCTCTCTCTATCCCAAAAATAAAAAAAAATATATTAAAAAAAAAAATGTTTTGTGATAATATATACCCATTAGAAATAAAAAAAGGATATTTGCTTTATATATGTATATATATTTAATATGCATAGAAGAGTTCTGGAAGGATACATAATACATAAGCCATTAGTTACTAAGATTTCCTTTTGGAAAGGAAATCAATGAACTGATACATAAAGGAGACCAAATTGTATTATTTGCTTAATTAACAATATGCATATATTTCTTTTTTTTAATTTTAGTAAATATTTTTGATCCAAATTAACTAGAGTATGTTTTTCTCTATTCCTAATGCTTCTGTGAGTCACAAAGATTTCATCACCAGATTAAACATTTCCTAGTCTACTTCAATGTATTTGTAATAATGTTGATTATTAGTGATATTTAAAGCCACTTTACTTACAGTTACCAGAAAGTAAATAAGGTTCTTAATGTAACTGTCAAGTTTCAGATTTTTCATCTACAATGAAACAAAATAACAATACCTCCTAGAAGCCAAATAGCAATTGAAAGTATCTGGTCTGAGGGCAGAATAAAAGCATCAACAAAATATTACGGAGTACATTTATATACATATATAGAAAAACTTTTCAAACACAAAATACTACACTATAGTGCATTCTAGTGGTCTTAGGAAAAACTGCAACAGAGTTTATGTAAAAAAGGGAATAGAAAATATTCTTTACAATATACGTAACAAAAACAACATATTATAAGCTGACATTTCATAAAAAATTAGACAAAATAAATAAAGAACTGTTGTGTTTACCACAGGCTGTGTTCCCTTAAAGCAGGGTCTCTCTACTGAACTGTTAAATTCACTGAAAAATGGGGCGCCTGGGTGGCGCAGTCGGTTGCTTGGCGATCCGACTTCAGCCAAATTAAATGATCTCATGATCGGTCAGGATTAGAATGCGTCGGAGGCTGGGCTGGTGGCTGGGAGCCTGGAGCCTGTTTCCGATTCTGTGTCTCCCTCTCTCTCTCCCCCTCCCCGTTCATGCTCTGTCTCTCTCTGTCCCAAAAATAAATAAAAACGTTCAAAAAAATTCACTGAAAAATAATTTACTCCCAGAACTCTTCTCAACTTAGTAACATTCCTTTTGAAGCCAATATGCTAAATTCACTCATATTGTTTCCTACAGTTTTAATACTTGATCTGTGTTACCTACCAATCTTGTTCCCTAATCTTTTTGTCTAAATCAGATTGTAAATAAATAGCAGATCTCCTATCTAAGAACTCTACGTACGATACGTGGCTAGGCCTTCCAACTGGCCTTTATTGGGTTAAAAAAGCATAAAAATTGTATAATAATTAAAGAAGTCCCATTATACTTTTGTTTCAAAGTCTATTATAATGTACTAGGAATATGACGTAGCATCCAAATCACATTTTAAATGTTCATGCTCAGAATAACTTGACTAAATCAATGGACAGGTTCTGAATTCTCGTGACAGGTCCGGTGCTGTGCTGGCTGATGGGAAAGACCTGCAGTTACAGTCAGTTTAGGGCGGAGCAAGGAGATGCCTAAGAGACAGAGATTAAAATAACTACAGCACATTGTGTCAAGAGTTAGGAGTCATATCAGGGGCGCCTGGGTGGCTGAGGCGGTTAATCGTCTGACTTCGGCTCACGTCATGATCTCATGCTTAGTGAGTTCAAGCCCCGCATGGGGCTCTGTGCTGACAGCTCAGAGCCTGGGGCCTGCTTCAGATTCTGTATCTCCCTCACTCTCTGCCCTCCCCCGCTTGCGCTCTCTCTCTGTCTCAAAACTAAATAAACATTTTTTTTTAAAAAGAGTTATGCGTTACATCAAATGTTATAGGAATTCAGAAAAGGGATTATCTAATTCTGTCAAAGGTGGTGTCAAGGAGAGCTACCAAAAAGAAGGTAACATAAGAGATTTTAGCTAAACCTTAAAAAAACCAGTAGTTTTTAGTCAGACAAATAAATTGATGAAGAGTATTTCTGTCAGAAGAAAAAGTGGGGGAGAAATACACAATGGGTCAAAAAAAAATGTGTGTGTGTGTGTGTGTGTGTGTGTGTGTGTGTGTACAGGACTAGAAAGGGGCCTGGCTGTAAAAGGTTCTACTAAGAACTTGGGAAGGAAAAAACAAATTCAATCTGGAACTTGAAGTCCCAAATAAAAAAAATAAAAAAATTAAAAAAAAAAAAGAACTTGGAAATTAGCTAGATATTTTAAAGCAGGGATAGAACAATCTGTATTTCAAAAAGTGAATCCTGTGAACGTGGAAGATGAATTAGAATATGGAATTATTACAGGCAAAGAGGACATATGGGTTTTTACAGTAGTGCAGATGTAAGAGAGAAACAGGGAAAAATGGAATGTTTCAGAATTGTATTTTATATAGTATTTAAGGTTTTTCAGTATAGAAGTTCCTGAGTAAATCTTGAATTACACACTGTGTACTCTTGAAAAATTAGATATACATTTGCTCATTTTGCATATTCTATTATACTTTAGGGAATGCCTTAAATAAATTCATTGCTAGGTGAGTAATCTTTCTGTAATGTTAAAGATTCAGTTTCACTGAATTTTGGATCTTTTTAAATGGGACTACTTAGAAAATCAATAACACAGCAATTCTAAATTATGATCCTTACACTTAGGTGTGTCAGGTTAAATGACAATGTGTCAGGTTAAAAGACGTCTAGAATTTGCTGTTCTAAAATAGATCAGGATGAAGCAAGACTGACAGGAACATTAACTGCTAAGGCTTGGAGGTGTATATAGAAGATATTACTCTCTTTACATTTATGCTTCAAATTTTCCTCAAAAAAAAACTTCTTAAAAATTCTTTGCTTAAAGCATTAGCAAAATAATTTCAGAATCAAAAGAACTGAAATGTTCTACAACTCCAAAATCTGTAAAACTTCCTGGCGTTAGGGCATTAGAAAAATAATTTCAGAGTTAAAGAACTGAAATGTTTAAGACTCTAATCCACAAAGAAATGCTCTGTTACTCCTTAATTTATTACACTTAAATAGTGCCATAGTATCAGGAATAACCTCAAATCATTCCATAAATCCCAGAAGATACAAAATCTTTTCCAGGAGAACTCCATTAGTTGAAAGAAAACAAAATGTCTTCCCTAGACCCAGCCAGTTCTTTATCTCTTCTGTTCTTCAAAGTCAAACTACTTGGAAAAATAAGCAACTATATCTGTCTCCACTTTATCTGACCTTCTCACCCCTCAAACCCCTGTGATCTGGTTTGTGTTCCTGCTACCTCCCTGAAGCTCTTCTGGCAAGGCCATTTACAAGCTCTGACCTGGCAAATCTGGATGACTACTTTCAGGTTACAGCTTACTTAGAGTCGTTGTGGCATCTACAATTGTCAAACTCCCACTTTCTTTAGCTTGCTTGCAATATACTGCTCTCTCCTTCCTTCTCCAACTGTTCCTTTGCTGGTTCTTCTTCCTCTCCCTTTTCCTCAAACTTTTCCATTTCCTGTGGCTCTGGCTGATTCTTCTCTTCCCACAACACTTGTTTCAACTACTTGTTGAACTTATTCAACTGCTTGTTTCAACTACTCCTGCAACTTTATCCACAGTATTAATGAGCCCCAAGTATACATCTCTAGTCATGAGCCTTACTCTCATATCTGCTTTTCAACCCTTCTTTTTTCTTTTTTTTAATGTTTATTTATTTTTGAGAGAGAAAGAAAGAGACAGAGCACGAGCAGGGGAGGGGCAGAGAGGGAGGTACAGAATCAAAAGCAGGCTCCAGGCTCTGAGCTGTCAGCACAGAGCCTGATGCGGGGCTCGAACCCACAAACTGTGAGATCACGACCTGAGCCGAAGTCAGATGCTCAACCGACTGAGCCACCCAGGCACCCCTCAACCCTCATTTCTTAATCTTTAATTCATTTGATAATTTAACAAAACTTTGACTCAAGCCAGGAACCTGGGAATCATTCTTGAATCATCTTTCTTCCTCATCCCCTATATCCAGTCATCTCCAATTTTTATGGATTCTACTTAAAATGTTTCATAGCTGATGCCTCTTCTATTCTAGCAGCTACTATGTTATAATCTCTCATCCTAGACTATTAGAATCTTCCTGATTCTACTAACAGATCTTTCCAGTCCATCCCCATACTGAGGTCAGGGTGATCTTTCTAAAATCTACCTCACACTAGTCCATGCTCCTTTCAACTGCACAACAACTAAATGCAACATGCATTCCTAGACCAGGAAAAAAAAATACTATAAAAATCATTACTGGGGTATTTGGTGGAAAAAAATGCTATAAAGATCATCACCAGAACATATGAATATGGGCTATATTAAACAATAGAACTATATCAACACTAAGTTTCCTTAATTTTGATAATGAGTTGTAATTATAAAAGGGAATGTCCCTGTCCCTGTTCGCAGAAGATATATACGGAGGTATTTAGAGGCATAAGGGGTATAATGTCTTCATCTAAGTAGCAAATGATCCAGGAAAAAAGCAGTATGTCTACAGAATGAGCATACCAGTAAATATAGCAAAATGTCAACTGGTGAATCTGGGTAAAGGGCATGTAGTTCTTGAAACTTCTATAAGCTTGAGAAATTTTATAATAAAAGGTTTTGAAAAACCTTCAATGTTTCCTATTATATGTAAGATAAAATTTTGAACTCCTTAGGCTCTCCATGATCTGGTTCTTGCCCACATCTATCATCACTTATCAAATCACAACTAACATCTTACCCTCCTCCATACACCGTGACTGTAAATTTCTGAACGCACCAAACTGCTTTGTTCCCTGCCAAACATACACTCTCTACTTCCTGAACCTTGCTTATCTGGCAAACACCTGCTGTTCAAGTCTCACCTCCTCTTGTTACATCCTCACTTCTACTTACTTCTACCTTCCAGATCCAAATAACCACTCCCTTCTTTGTGACCCCACTGTACCCTGTACAGACATCTTCCATAGCACTCATGATACTGCACTGCACTTTTGTGGTTTACAAGTCTGTTTCCTGCTACTCTGAGCCCTTAAGGACAAGGACAATGACCTTGTTTATACTCAGCTCCAGCACAGTGCTTAAGTTGGATGGATAGAGCAATGACTATATTTAATGAGGAGGGCCTCTCTCTCTCTCTCTCTCTCTCTCACACACACACACACACACACACACCGCACGCATGCAATATCCTTGGTTACTTGAGTACCTGTATATTTTAATTCTACTGTATTATGATAGATGGTAAAGAGTACAGACTTCAGAATCAGACAGACCTGCAGGATCTGAATCACAGCTGTACTACAACTTTGCAACTCTACATACTCAAGTTACTTAGTTTTTAAACCTCAGGGCCTGGTGCACAGTACTTAATAAAGTTGCCATTAATGTTATTATTCTTTCTCTTTGATGACACCTGTAATTTAAATTGCTTAAAATCTCAAATATTCCCAAATTGCACACTTTTAAAAGTAGTTCCTCACCCATACCATCTCTCCAATACAGCTTTCAATCAACCTCTCAAGGAATAAAAAAGAATCCTCTCTTTTTTACCAAGAGGTCAACGTGTTTTCAATTTCTTGTGCCATTTAAAGATCTCACGTAAAGGTGAAAATGAGTTCTAATAAAGTTTAATCTATTTCTTGATATCCATAAATATTATCTGTTAAATGCTATTTTATGACAGTTTTGCAAACAGCCCATTCATCAACTTAAAAAAAAGTGAGAAAAGCATGTGATCAAAACAAGCAAAATAGAGAATTTCAGTATCGCCTATCAAGTACTCAATTACCTAAAACAAAAAAACTGTCTCATGTTGCTGACAAAAAATTCCAAAGACCACCTGTTAAAACATACACACTTATAATTCATACAAAAATTTCCTAAACTCTCATCTATGACCTATTGTCCTTTCCCTGTGAACCGAGGTTAAACACTAGCAACATCGAAAGAGAAGATTCACTTCTGGAGAGATACGAATAGCTCATAGCAAAGGAACAAAATACCAAAAAAGTCTAGAAAAAGTTCTCAATCCAGTCTGCTTTTTCCCCAAAGAAAATACACCGAACTGAATACCAGATGATGAGGAAAAGGCATTAGAGAAATTTCCTTTACAACTCAAAAACGAGTTCAATCCCATAAAGAAATGGATCATGACAGCTCAGGAAGCACATAAATTTCCTTAGAAAGGACAGGGCAGGGGAAAAATGTTGCTAAACTTTTAAAAAAATCATACAAATCGGTTTATTGTTCATGACCATTAAACAGTCATGATAACATTCAATATTACAACCATTTGTAAATGTGCATTACAGGTACTATTTTTGTAATTCAAAAGTATAAAGTATTAACATTTGGATTTGTTTTAGGAATAACAGAAAAATTAGTCCAGTCTTTAAAGAGAACACAGCCTTCCATCCCACTGAATTACCTTTCCTGTTTAAGAGCATACTCCAGCATTTTGATCCTCCTCACAAGATCCTTCTTCAAATTTTCTTGACCTTTTCTTTCCCCCTGAAGGAAGGCAATCTGGGCCTGAGTAGAGAAAAAAGAAGAAGAAGACAAAACTCAGTTTGGACCAAACAAAAAAAGTTTTTAATTCAGCTGAAGAAAGAACCCTTGGATGATAGGGCACTTAGAGGCAAATATGCTTCCTTTACATATATGTCACAAAATATGTAAGCATATAGAAAGGCACTGATTGCAAGGGGGAAAAATCTTTTTTTAAATACACATTTTACTTCAGACTAGGGATGTTAAAACAGGTAATGTATATCCTCTAAGAGTCTATAATCTAAAACAATCAATATAAATGCAGACATATGCAAAGAATACAGTATAGTTTGCTCAAATGTTTGTGGCATTAAGGGGATTTCTCTTTTATAAAAAATGAAGATGGGGAAAGGGGGAAAATAAAATCATGAGTTCTTATAATATCATCGCAAAGTAACAGTTCTCAGAGCTTCACTACATATTTAAATCTTATGATGGATTTGAGATTGTCTTGAAAGACTTTATTCTGGACCTCCCCTACAAATGAAAAGTAGCTGCCTTTTCTCAATCCCTACCTTTCACCCCACCTCCTTTTAGGAGATTTAATATGCAGGGAAAAAAGTGAAAGTTCAAAAAAGGAAAATCAGAGACAATGGCCCTCCAGAGGTTCCTAGCCCCTCCAAGGAATAAAGACAAAAAAACAAAAACAAAAACAAAAACAAACCCTACAGTTTCATATGTAAACAAACTGTAAAACTCATGTCTTCAGAAACACAGCTTGGGCAAAGTGGCTCTCCAGAATATCTATAAAGACATTTAGAATTGAAATAGTAACTTCCACTTAAGGAACTGAAACTGTGTTGCAAACACTAACTAGTTAAAGTAATACATAGGGCATTTAAGGGCCCTCAAGGATTGCTATATCAATTTCACTGTTCTCATGTTTTCCCCTTCCATTTCTATTACATTAACCCAGATGACAATGTTATTTATATTTCCACAGTGCTTTAACAAGCAATAACTTGTATTTAATGATGACCTTACCACATCCCTAAGAAATTGTGGATTGTCCAACCAAGGTTTAGTGAGTGAGCCACTAAACTTACTTCTACTCCATTTGAATAACATTCCTTTGTTTTTTCAATGCCATAATGAACATAAAATCCAATTCACCAAGCATCTTATAACTTTCAAAATGAAGGTAGTGCTGTTTTTGTTCTCGTTTCAGTAAGCTCTTAAAAGTTACAGAGCCTGAATGTCCATCAACTGATGAATGGATAAAGAAGATGTGGTTTATATATACCACAGAATACTACTTGGCAATGAGAAAGAATGAAATCCTGCCATTTGCAGTAACGTGGATGGAACTGGAGAGTATTATGCTAAGTGAAATAAGTCAGTCAGAGAAAGACACCATATGTTTTCACTCATATGTAGTACTTGAGAAACTTAACAGAAGACCATGTGGGAAGGGAAGTGGGGGGGTGGGGGGAGGCGAGGAGTGACAAACAGAGAGGGAGGGAGGCAAACCATAAGAGACTTAAATACAGAGAGCAAACTGAGGGTTGATGGGGGTGGGGAAGAGGAGAAAGTGGGTGATGGGCATTGAGGAGGACACTTGTTGGGATGAGCACTGGGTGTTGCATGAAAGCCAATTTAACAATAAATTATATTTTTAAAAAAGTTACATTGCAATTAAAAGGATTATTTCCATCTTATTGAATTAAAAATCGTCCAAAAACAATTGTATACACAAGGAAAAGGCATCAAATATCTACACTACCTACACTTAATGATCATAAAACCTTTTGAAATTATGTACTCTACAAGGCAATCATTATTTTATGTAAGCATAATAATAATTTCATTTAAAGCTGACAAAAATGGAAGTCCTGACAAAAGGATATGATAGTCCAACTGGTTTGACCAAACAGTGCTTTGGCATAGAGTTCTTTATACTCTTCAAAATGGCTTTAATAAAAATAATAATCTAATCAGCATAATTATGTAATCAAAGTAATAATAACATCAACGATCAATGTCTTCCACTATATATCCTTCGGCGAGTTTTATACTTCTGTCTCCATCGTGGTCCCTGGATGCTTCTCAAACTTCAGTCCATAATACTGGAAAAGTCTTTACTGTGACTCATTTCTGAACCCACCAACCACTCCTTGTGTTCCCAGTACACTTAATTCTCCATCTTCCTGTCAATTCACATATTGGATTAAATATTTAATAAAAATAAAAGACCCAGAACTGTTAAAGAGAAAGATTGCAGAGAAGATAGAGTTACCTGGAAAGAAAAACAAAAAAGATTAACAGGAATATCTGTGTTATTTCTTGGTGATCACAGAACACCTCTGTGGTATTTCTGCCGAAGATGCATAACCCGAAATGCATCATAAGGAAACACAGGCAAACTCAACTTGAGGCACATTTTACATTAGGTTTCTTGTAATGTTCAAAAGTGTCAGGTCATAAAAGTCAAGGAAAGACTGTTTTAGATTGAAGGAGACTAAAAAGGCATGAAAACCAAGTATAATGTATGATTCTAAACTGGATTTGGCTATAAAAGGACATTATTAGGACAACTGATGAAACATGAATGGGGTCTGAGGATTACATGGTAGTAATATATCCAGTGTTAACTTCCTGATTTTGATGGTTATACGTTGTTACATAAGATAGTACTTATTTATAGGAAATAAACACTTTTAAAGTATTTGGTGGGAAACAACAGGCTATCAGATTAGCTGACAACTTGTCCTCAAATGGTTTCTGTGGGGGCGTCTGGGTGGCTCAGTCGGTTAAGTGTCCGACTTCAGCTCAGGTCATGATCTCACAGTTTGTGAGTTCGAGCCCCACATCGGGCTCTGTGCTGACAACTCAGAGCCTGTGGCCTGCTTTGGATTCTGTGTCTCCCTCTCACTCTGCCCCTCTGCCGCTCACGCTCTTACTCTTTCTGTCTCTCAAAAATAAATAAATGTTAAAAAAAATTTTTTTTTAATTCTGTGTATTACCCTTGCGACAGTTCTGTCAATACAAGATCTAAATTTTCTTCTTAATTTTGAAACACTATGCCAACTTCCTTAATATGATAAGATACAAGTTCAATTCAAAGTTAGCATCATGCATAATGGAAAAACCCAAGAGGTACTGACAATCAGGAACAAAACAAGGATGTCCATTTTTCATCACAAATATTTAACCATATTCTGGAGGTGGTGGCCAATGCCATTAGTCAAGAAAGAAATGTTTAAAAACAGAAAAGAGGAAATAAAATCATCATTATTTGCAAATGATACAAGTGGATACATGGAAAATCCAAGGCAACTGACTACAAACGTATTTAAGAAAATAGAGGAATTTTAGTAAATTGGCTACGTATTAAAATAAATTAAAACCCATAAAGGGCACCTGGGTGGCTCGGTCGGTAAAGCATCCAACTCTTGCAGGTCATGATCTCACTGGTTCATGAGTTCGAGCCCTGCACTGATTGAACTGTGCGCTCAGAGTACAGAACCTGCTTGGGATTCTGTCTCTCCCTCTCTCTAGACCTCCCCTGCTTGTGCATGCATGCACATGCTCTCTCTCTCTCTCTCAAAATAAATAAATAAACTTTAAAAAAGTTTAAAAAAATTAAAACGAATGAGCTTCTATAAAAAGTTAACATAATTATAGAAAACAATCCTATTTATAACAAAAATAAGCTGATTACAATAAATCTTTCAATAAAAAAATAAAAGCCATGCAAAGAATACAGCACACAATGATTCTAAAGTATAAGTGGAAAACTAAATAAGCAAAATAAACAAATTATTTAAAATTCCTGAAATATTTTAAAACATATTTCTATAGTCACTTAAATGGTGGTACTGATGCATGAACAGAGAGCTATGGTATGGGCAATCAAAAAAAAAAAAAACCTAATATATATATAGGAATTTGGTATAAGCTAAAGGGGACACTGCAGATCACTGGGGGAAACATGGATTATTCAATAAATGTTGATGGGCAGCTATCTGGAAAATATTTCTCACATCAAAATATTAAAAATTTTTCAAAGAACCCCGAAGTATGTGAAAAAAAGGTAGGGTTTGCTTTTGTTTTAATAATCTCAGGGTTAGGAATGCCTTTCTGAGGATAAGACAAACCCAAAGCCATAAAAGACTAATAAATTTTATCTCAAAAAATATTTACACATATAGCAATTAAAAAGTTACTGAAAAACTATTATGAGAAATAAGATAATTCTTTTTTTGACAAATGTCAAAACAAAATAGAAAATGTAGTCATATCACAAATCACGAGAGTTTGCTTTTCTTAATATAGTAAGAGCACCTACCAATAAGATAAAAATCAAGGACTCCAAGGACTCAACAGAAAAACATACAAAGGACATATTGATAGAAAGGAAATACAAAAAGCTCAAACTTATTAAAAAGATGTTTAACGTCACATGTAAGAGAATACCAATTGAAATTATAATCAGATTTCCCCTTTTCTATCAGACTAAGTTCAATAATGTAATAAAACAATATGTCAGGGGAAAAAGGCATTTGTCAGTTTCACTACAGTGGACAATTTGGTAACATCCATCCACTCTGCAAATGCACACACTCTTTACTCAACAATTCTAATTCTAGATCATTACCCTTCAAATATATTTGCACATGTGTGAAATGATATATTGAAAAATTACACCCAAAAATGTATGCATAATCCAAATGTCCATCTACAGGGAACTGGTTAAATTAATTATGAGTAAAACTAATAGAAAATCAGGTCCTCAACTAATATCTTTAAAAAAAAAAAAAAGGGGCGCCTGGGTGGCGCAGTCGGTTAAGCGTCCGACTTCAGCCAGGTCACGATCTCGTGGTCCGGGAGTTCAAGCCCCGCATCAGGCTCTGGGCTGATGGCTCAGAGCCTGGAGCCTGTTTCTGATTCTGCGTCTCCCTCTCTCTCTCTGCCCCTCCCCCGTTCATGCTCTGTCTCTCTCTGTCCCAAAAATAAATAAACGTTGAAAAAAAAAAAAAAAA